TCTACTTTGATCCTTTATATGGGATTCTTTCTGCAACACAAACTAAACCATCTGCTTCCAAATATGGAGATGACACCTCAACACCAACACAGTCCCTGATATTAGAAAGCCTACCACAGACTTATCTCCACAAAACAGGAAAATAATGTGAACTTATGGGATGTTGATATCCAAAGAAACAGGGGATGCAGCCCACATCACTATTTAGTATCTACACAGCATCTACTGTGATGTAGACTGCACACAGTTACAGGAACTGCTGGAGGAAACAACCATTTGCTAACAGGTTCAAAAAAAGGAACTTGCATAGTTTGACAGGACAGTCTTACTCTTTTGCTGAGTACGGCCAAGTGTACATGGCTGTCATTAAGTAGTGTCCGCCTCATCCCTCACAAGGTGTACCACACAACAGAGTGTTTCTCATTCAGCCAAGGAATTGTCCACATACTCAGGAACTTCATGAACTTGCTAACTTTCCAATGAGATATGGTGCTCAAAGAAGATTACAAGTACTACAAGTTATCGGAGTAACCACTTAGGGAGGGTAAGGAACATATCCTGGAAGAGCACAAGAAGCCTCAAAAAGCTGTTATCCTTTTTCCATCTCCCTCCTTTCTCTCCCCTTTCTCTTCTCCATATTCCTGTGCAAAGATAAGCTGAAAAATGTACTGTGGTAGGTGTACCTGCTCACCAAATACGCCTTAGTAGCATTATTTAATGGGAAAGTAATTTCTAGCTACAACCTCTCTCCCCCCACTCCCAGAATAGTTATCCAGTATATACTGCACTGCATTGGGTGCTGCACTGGTCAAATACCTACCATTATATGCAGCCATCCCAATTTATTACTGGTTTAGGAAGGAGGATCACCTTTTAAATGGCTGTTCAGAGAAATGAAGTCATGCTAGTATTCTCACAGAGACTGTCTCCAGCTTTTATCATAATCATCCTGTTTCTTTTACTACCTTCTTTCCCAGTGATGTCATCTCCCTTTATTTAATAGTTCTATTCCAGGATTTGGGATACTCAGGAGAAGAAACTGAGAAAACATAGGATGTAAGAAATTACATATTTTATATGGACTAAACCTGTGATACCAGAAGGCACTCAAGGGAATGCCCACTTCTCTCATCTTTTTCCAACAGCAAACAGTTGTTTTGAAAAGGGCTCTGTAAGTTCATCATCGCAGGGGCAACTTCAGTGCTACTGAAATCTGAGTAATAACTTTTTCATTAACTCACATACACAAACTTGTAGTCTAAATCTATTTATCTTAGTACTTTTTGAACTAAAAGCCACTTGCCTTTCTATTCAGTCCTTATTCACCTTTACTTCTTTTCCAGGATTTTTAGAGGATTTTAAGTCTTTTACATTGTTTTAATTCTCATTTTTCCTCATTTACCATGTTTCCATGAACTTTCATTTTGCTGTACCAAATGAAGTCCTTTATTGAATATGCCCCAAGTTTCATGAAGGGAAGGAATGTTGCCATAACAGAAAGATGTACTCCCTTTTAAGTCAAAAAGCAAGTCAGTTTGGACAGAAAGACCTGAAGTTTTTGTGAGACACAACATTAGACAAACTTGCATTAAACTGATGAGCAGCACTGAGAGTTTAAATAGTCTGTAGTTCAATATAATGAACTGGGAATGCAGATTCAATTCAGATGCTGATATTCATGATATGCATAAAAGTCATTGGGTAAGCTGAGATGCATTGACCAGGCAGGCATCTGATTAGTCTCCTTCATGTAAATTTAACTCAACCTTGTCTTCAAGTATGAATAAAAATAAAAATGAATAGCCACTGCTTTGGAAAGAAGTACTGAAGCAGTAAAACTTTCAAGAGCCTCTTTGAAGCTGTGAATTTTGATTGTTTGAACTCTTATATAACTTATTGGCAACAGCTTTTGTAACAAAAGAAATTCTCAATACTGTTATTTCTTCTATTGCAGCATTAACAGATCACATAACTGTTCTTGGGTTTCCAAATATAAGCAAGTAGCTACTTGTGGGATTACACGGATGTAAAGGATGTGCACATTCACATCCATTCAGTCTCTATTTCCAGTGGCCTGCAACTCTGTTACTAAAAGAGGTTTTTCATTCAGTCCTATAAAATTTCAGCAAATACGTATCACTGTGTTAAACATAGCAATTACATTTTGATGAATTACTGTTGCTTTACAATTAAGATTATTATTTTTATTTCACTTCTATCTCCTTAAAAACCTCACACAAATATTTTGCAGCCCCTTCTACACACCCACTCTTGCTGATTTTTAGATCATTTTAAAACATTGAAAAACATTTAAATGTTTTTAAAACAATACATCATTTTCTGTCCTCTAATAATTACACTCAGACATGTAGAAGTCATATCAGGTAGTTATTTTATCTGACCTTGCAAAAACATCAATTTCTAACAATAGTAACACAAGAGTAACCAGAGAAGATATTTTACTTCTGTGTATGTGACTAGTAAAATACAGTTTTATGTCTCTTTTTTTAAAAGAAAAAATAGAGAATGGATAGAAAAGAGCCACAAAAATCATCTGAGAATGAGAAAAAAATATTAAGAACACTAAAAAACTCGATCTGTTTAGCTTTTTCTTAAAAAAAATAAAAAAAATTGAGAAGTAACTTGATAGGGTAAAAGCACCTTCCTGGGGAGAAAATAGTGAGTCCTAAAGAGCTCTTTAATCCATCAGAGAAGGAATAACAAGAATCCATGACTGGAAGCTGAAGGCAAACAAATGCAAATGAAATAAGGTAGAAAATTTTTAGCAGCAGGCATGATTACCACTTGTATTATCCTAGTACCTGGAAGCCAAGTCATGGATCAGGGCTCCAGTAGGTGCTGGTAAAAAAAACCCAACCCAACCCACCCACTCCTCTCCAAAAAAGACCCCTAATGCCAAAACCAAGAGAAAAAAAAAACAAAACAGAAAAAAACCCCATCGCTGCCAAAAGGTTACAAAAATACGTAAGATGAAGTAACATTATAAATCAATGATAATATTATCTGATATGACAGGCAGCAGTTTCAGGCCATGGTTTCACGATACAAAGTGTTGACTTGAGATACTGGCTTAAGGTGATTCTTTTGTATCAAGACTGTTTCATCCTGGTCCCACAATTTCTATACAACTGTGAAATGATGAAAACTGACACTTATTAAAAAACCACAGTGTTTTTCCTTTTCAACAAAATGACAGTGGAACTGATACCCTTTTGCAAGCATTTTGATTTTCATGAATTTCAGTGAATGGGTTGAACAAATTTTCCCACCTGAGCTGTTTACAGGACATCTGAATTTGCTGTGGGGAAAGACTGCATATCCTAGGGAGAAGCACGCAAAAGCAAAGTATGAGATTGTTCTGTTTTCCTCATAGCAAATCACTAGCTTGGTGACCAAATCTCAAGTGCCATCAATAGATAAGGTAGACATTAACAAATGAAATCGAACCCACAGTCTGGCAAGATTTCTCTGAAAAAAACTTATCCTCCTAATAAAGTCTAATGTTAAAGATAGAGACATAAGCTTGTGATTCCCAACAAGACTGCTCTGGCACTGAAGCCTACACACCTTGGTAGCTTAGAAACACAGCAGGCCACTACGTTTTGACTAGGAAGAAGACTAAAGGGGCAAGTCAAGAGTAGTATTTTCTATTATTAAAGTTTTTGCTATCTATTTGTGAAATCAAGGATCACATGGATCGCCCCTGAAATTCATTGAGGAGAGAACTGGGAGACTCTGGGAGCATCTCCTCTTATTTTCCAACAGAAGAACACAGGAGAAAAGCCCACCTTTGATTTCCGTTTCTTCATTTAAATTATATTGCAGACTGCAGGAACACCCCCAATGTCTACAGCACTGAGCAATCCTGAAGGAGCCAGTTTCTTTGGCCGGAAATGCTGAAGAGAAAACAAAAGCTAAAAAGCTAGGGTCAATGCCACACAAATATTCCCTGAGACTCGAAAGCAAACTGGCTTTTACTACCCAGCCTTCTTCCTTCCCTTCCTTCCCAGAGGTGGCCAGCCTCCTCCCATCGGCTGATGTTCTGTATTTCACTGAGCTGGATATTCACGTCCACATGCCAGACAGGGAAACTGTTACAATCAGTTCTAAAAGCCTTCATTTTTCTCTTGTTCCTTGTTAAAAATACTTCAAGCTATATCTATAATAAGCTACATCAAAAGGAACGCCATTTCATTGCAAAGTTTAAATACTTAACAGCCTTAGTATTCGGCCTCATGCACCCTGCTGAATTTTTCCACAGGACCGCGGCCACCCTGTGTGTGCAGGACATGCAGCTCAGGAAATGAATCAGGGTTGTGTATCGAATTAGATTATTTATAGGTTGGTATATGTGTTTGCTCTAGGAGTTATGCAAAGAATAAGACAGACAACTACAGGAAGAGAGCGATGGGCATGTGGTTAAGGCAGTTGAATGCCACACAGGAACACTCAGTTCTGCCTTTGCCATCGGCTTCTGTGAGCAAGAAGCAAGTCAAACCAAGCACCTTGGCAGATGGCCACCAACCTTGTCTTCCTCATTTTCTGGGAGTCCAAACCGTAACACCTTGGGCCTTTCACACAAAAACGCAAACAGATGATGATAATGGAAGGTTTGGCTCTTGAGGGAAAAGTGGAGCCGGAGGCAAAAGGTTAAAAGGCAGGAGAATCCAATTAATATCATTGACTTTACTACTGACTGAATGAGTGGCTCAGTTTTCTCCTTGGTCAAACAGGACAGTGGTGCTTTTCTGTTGTTCTGGGAATATGCAAAAATTCATCAAATACTGTGAAGATCTTAGTTTACAGTGCTTACAGAAGCACTGTAATAAACTAACAAAATAAAAAAGGTTTTTCTCATTCTCTATATACAGAGAAAGTTTTGATCTTTTAATATGTTAATTATCATATATTGCTATGTATTTGCTTTTTAAAAAATATACAAAATAAATATTAACATGCATAGAGATGAAACAGATCTGTTTTCCCTCTCAAACTCTTTTAATGTGATTTTGCAAAGTCCTTTCCAGCTTCTATCAGGGCTATAACTTTAGCACTCGGTGAAACTGCAATATGGTCATATGGAATACACAGGGAACAGCACTCAGTGTAATCAAAAGATATTCACTGGCTCACAAAAAAATAAAAATATCCTCACTCTCAGCTGTATGTCATGTAATCACAGCCACAGAAATAGAAAAGCAACAGGAGATCTAGTAAAAGTTAATGCCTTTTCCTACTTATTTTATTGATCTGCATTAGAGTATCATCATATTGAAAGTTTTCAGTAATAGTAGGCTAAGTCTGCAAAATAAAATAGATATATTCTGTGTCCACCAAGGAAAAAACAAATCTACCCACATCTTGAAAAAAGTTCTGAATAGTTTCAACAGTTACTCTGACTTAAAAATCTGAGTTAAGAGAAATACCACAATGACTGAAAACACAGGTGATGATCTCCATTTTAGATAGGAAGACAGTAAATGTAAAAATATAACACAGTAATCAGAGCAATCATGAGATATTGGCACATGACAGAACACAAATATTTTAACAATGTCTGACAACATCCCAAGCACACAGTTTCTGAATGCTACTAAAGTGATGTGCATAAGACTCAGAGATAATACAGTTTTTTGGATAATTTTCATCAATTAGAAGCAGGTAGACAGGGGAAGGAAATAAAAATTTAGGTTCAGGCCTACAATCAGATCTTCAGAGTAGGAACTTGCAGTCATCCAGGAGTCCCATCAACTCAGGCCCCACAGCTATCAAGGTCCATTTGAACAAATCCAGTGGCAGGATTAGGGTCTAAATATCTAAACAGAAAGAGAATGAAATCAGGTAACACTGCGCACAGGTCTAATTAAAGAGACACCAAACTAGTCACAGAAAAATAATCTGAGTGCCTAGACCACGACAAGATCTACATTTTTACCATAAAATGCTGCAGCTACAGGAAAGACTACAGTGATATCTTACAACAAGAGGCTTATACAGCATTAATTGGTCACAGTGTATTTCCCTTCAAGCAAACATGAGTACCTGCAGTGTGTTTGCTCACCTCCGGCGTGCTGCTGCTTTTTCAGAGTTACATATAATTTGTTTTATTATTTTTCATAAAAGAGAGTAGTCTAAAATCAATAGAGGTAATATATTTATCTTCATCAGCTTATTTCCAGGCATGTAGATTTTCAGCCCCTTAGTAACACGGTGGCAAAAACTAACATGAGATAATCTCCCCATATTTTAAAACACTGTAGAACTTAGAGAAAGTAATAATATTTCTATAGAAAGTGTCATTGTTATGCCTATCTGAAGGTTGTGAGAAGTTCTAGCTTGGCAGTGTTTCTCCCTAACATTCCAATAAAACCCCATGGTAGCATGCATCTAGTATCATACAATTGCCAATGAAAAAATATACTGTTTCCAACCCTTTATAATGAGGTTTGCCCACTGAAATATACTTTAGTACAACAGGAGTGTGTGACAGCAGCAGCAAAGACACTACAGGAATATCAGGTTTATGGTGCAACAAGCACACAGACTCACAGGCTACACTGCGGAGCATCGTGTCATCCAAACTTCAACACCAGCTCTTTTCATCCACCTCAAGAAAGGGTCCATGCTTTCTCTCTAGCTATGACCTTCCCGTGGCTATCTGTCAGCTCAGGAGGGTGTAAAAGCCAATTCACCACGCCTGTAAATGTTGCTGCACCTTGTACCTTCACTGGTACAACCTCTTTGAGAGACAGCCAGACCAAAGACAGAATGAGGTCCAGGAGTATGATACCATTCTTCCCGTTACTATAGTAGAGTTATGCCTTCAGAGACCAGCATGTAACCAGATAAATCAATATGAACACACTTTCTACACAATAAAAATGTTCAAGACTATCAACTACCTCTGATTACTTTTGTATCTCCTACAGGATGGCTTCAGATGCAGCAAGATCCTTTGTATAAAATAAATTAATAAGTGTAAAAATTATCTCAAGATACATGAGGACATGAACATATGAAATTCAATGAGATGTTGGTTTGCCTATAGCACTGATGGAGAGGTAAGGACTCAAACTGCTATTATTTCTAATGGACGTTTAAAGCCCTTTTTGCCAAGATGAGAAACTGACTTTAGACTACTTATATATAAGGAAACTCATAGATATGCAAGGCAGATGAGATTTCCAAAATTTGTGAAGAAAGGTAATGGTTTTGTCTTCTTAGAGTTGGTGGTGCTAGCTCAGGATACATATCAAAATCTTTATTTCCATTTTAATGTTGAATTCCCACTTACATACCACATGCATGTCCGAAACTGGTACATGGAAAAGCACCTATAACACCGCACTAATGGTGCAGATATTGGTTATTTTATCTCAAAAGAGTTACAGATTCAAACCTGGCTGTTGCTCTGTAAACATACCATGGTTGGGGAGCTGAGCATGCAAGCAGGGCACATTTGCTCACAAATTTATGATTTCACAAATTTTTAGCAGGCAAAGGGTAATTTACTGCCTTACCTGGCTATCACTAGTCTTTCTCTGAATAACTTGAAACTGTTGATGGGCTATTAATATCAAATTCCTTCCCAGAGTTACATTTCTGAGGAAAGGCAATTTTTTAATGTCTCTTCCCTGAGCGTACTACAAGTGTTAACTTTATAATCTGGACACCTAACTACTAGATGCCTAAGACAACCTTTCTTCTTGCTCTTGCAAAAATGCATTAACAGTTTAGATCTCCACATCTGGTGGAAATGTACCTATTATAAAAATAACAAGAAAGAAAATAAAAAGCTGTTTGATTTTTTTTTCTTCAGATTATGCCTCCTTGATACTAAAGTTGCCTCATCTCTGGTTTAAGTGAGAAATACCTAGAAGCAATTCTAATTCATACCTGTTTGCTACCATGCCCATATGACTATATGCCAGTGGAAAATTAGCCAAGAGCAGATGTTATTTCCTCTGTCCTTTCTCCAGTCTCCGTTCTCAACCTGTGAGTTCTGGGACGTGCTGAAGGGGGAAACAAAAGATCACTGTCGCTGGTATGGAACCTGACTATAAAAGCTTCAAGCAAACTGAAAGCTTCCTCCTCTTGGGGAGAATTCTTACATCATCAGGTAGTATCAGGATGAGGAACAGAATCAGTTACCTATTAATGAAGTACTACAGAGTATAGTTATTAGAAGACTTAACTTAATAATTTAATTGTAAAGAAATTACTGTATCCAGTGTTCACTATTACTATAAACCAAATGAAAAGATCAGTGGCTTCCCAACAAATGCAAAACACATCTTTTCATTCTAGGCACCCCACCATGACATTACAAATCGAACTCAACAATTAATGTCCAGCCCTTTGTGGCAGGTAGGGAAATATTCTAAGCAATATTATGTGGGAAGCAATTGTAGGAGTGAAGAACTTAATAATAAATAATACAATTGTATTTGAGGACAGATCTATACAGTTTCCATATGAATGACTTAATTGGTGGTGACACACAAAGCTGCATAGCCACACCATCATCCTGCCTATTGCGCAGACATATAACTCTAGCATCACCTTAGATCCCAAATATACTCCAAATCCCAAGATTCATATTCATAATTTGCAGATACTTTCAGTGCAACATTTTCAAGATGGTATTTTTCTCAAGTCTTCCGAACAATCAGGTTAATCATCCTCATCCCATTTTGATTCAGCAACATTTTTTCTCTCTGACTTTGAGAGACACAGCCTAATATTGCATGCATTCACACAGAAAACTGATGCAAAGACCCTTTTCCTAGTTGATCACTTGGAGAACACATCAGTCTCCACAGCTCTCCCTGGCTACTTCTGCAATATCTCTTGTCTCCAGTTTCAAGGCCCATCCTTGCTTCTCACCACCACGCCTACTGCTCCTTAATCACTGTCAGGAAGACAGCTGTGGTTTACTCCCATTTGAAGCTGGGACAATTTTCATGAAACATAAAGCTTAAAAGACCATTAGATCATACTGTCTAATTTGATTATTATTTTGTGTTTGGCTAAAACATTTTCAAAACCCCCCACTTCTTACTGGTAAAAAAATCAAACTCAGAGATGCTTCTTACATCAGGAGTCCATTTTCCAGCTCCTCTCTCACCCACACGTTGTATTTTCACACAAATTTCTTGTGCCTTTTTCTGTTTTATACCTTACACTTTATGGTAACTCCCTTAAATATTTGAAAACATATTGCATTGCTGTTGTTCAAAGCTTTCTCTGAAATTCAGCTTACTAACATGACCCTACAGCCCCTATGAGCAAAACGTGTGATAAGCATTTATACACATATCACGTATTTTTAAGTGTCTAAAGTAAGCAAGAGTGAGATGTAGGAGACATGTCCTACTATACAGTAAGTGGAGAGGCTCCTGTTGAGAGTGATTTGGTTGGAAGAACTCTTGAAACATTCCAAACATGTTCCCTGAAGGAGTCTCTGTATAAGCTGTGGAAATAGCCTAGGCAGATCAGTCTTTTGATTTAGGTATCTGAGTTGGATCCCTAAAGTATGAATATTCCCCCTAACTACTAGCATTTCCCTTCTCATCTATATTTTATATATTTTATTATTATATTTATTAGTGTATATTTTCTATTTTCAACTGTATTGTATTTACATTGCCAGCACTTAAAATTGCAGATAATCTTTTCAGCCTTTGTCTGTGTGGTGCCTAAAATCACAGGAACTAATAATTTACAATTACACAAACCAGTATTTTATTAAACAGTACCTGATCATAGAGTTATCACAAAATTACACACACACACCTGGTAGATGATGCACAGCTATGTGCATCAACTTCAGCTTTGGTATTTCCTAAATTCCTCAATCCTATAACAAGAGCTGGATTCTATTCATGGCTGGCACCAGCTATTTTCTCCCCAGTGTGAATCATGGGCAAATCTTCAAGACAATTCGACACAGCAAATGAAGAGAGGGGAGAATAAGAGTGATGGGAAGGTATAGGGGGATCCAGGACACATAAGAATTTTTGGCAGAAAAAACAGAGTGCAGGAAACAAACTATGGAAACCCTTGTCATGTGCGTGACAGATGTCACAAGCTATTTTCTGAAATAATTGATGAGAAAGTGGTAAAATGTAGGACTGCTAAAAGCAAAAGTAAGAAATGGAAGGAATCCCTTCATATATGTGAAGAGTTCATGCCCCACAATGTACGCTTCTCCCTGTTAAACTTACTGAACTTGAAATCTACCCTATTAAAAAAGAGATTTCAGTAACATAAAAAGGTCCCTAAAGCCCCAAATTATGAAGCAAAACCCAGTGACATACCTTACATGCTAAGAAATTCTCAGGGTCTCCAAAAACATGCTTATTGCTGGGAAAAGGATAATAAAACATTATGAAGAAACAATGAACTTCAAGAAATCAGTTGAATGATCAAATAGGAGTCCCACACAAATGTAGAAATCTTATCCTAACACAAACAATAAGCAAAAGCCATACTAGGCATCATGTAAAAAAGAAACAGAATAGAACAACCACTACTGATGATAATCTAGTTCTTGCTCCAGATCTAATGATCTAGATAACAGAAAAGTTCTTTCAAAGCCCAAAGCAGGAGGAGAATGCATCCTGAAGCAAGCAAACAAAAAAATGAGGACACAGGCAATCATAGATCAAAACCTGATCAAAATCTAAACAGGGAAAAATATTGGGTTAAATGATTGATTTCATTATAATAAATTTCTTTAATAGCAAATAGTTAACTACAACGTGTATTAAAAAAATGTGTTTGGTCCTATGTTATGGTATAGTGGTAGGATTGCCTCTGTTTAATGCAGTTGTTCATTAGGTCAGTTATGCCATAGCGGGAAAGTACACCAGTTGCTTTGGCCTCAGGAAGGAACCAGGGCCCACTTCAGCAGTTTAGTGAAAGTCTCTGCTCAACACCACACTACAATCAAATTAAGAATAATAAAACAGGCAGCTTAAACAATGGAAGAGAATTAGAAGAAAGCCAGTGTAATAGGATTATAAAAATCAATGCTCTGACCTTACCAGAAAAAGAAAATCCCATATGAGGTACAAGTCACCCCTTCTCCAAAAGGGTACTAAAAAATTGGATAGGGTTCAAATATGGACAATAATAAAAATGGAAAATTCCTAGGAATAGAAATTAGGAAGTTTAAAATCTAGAGTCTTATGCATGGACATGTAAAATAATAATTGCTGTAAAGAGATCAGATCAGACATTTCTATGCTTGCTATCTTACAACACAAGAAAACAACACAAAGAAACATCCAAAGTATGGAAAATACAAAACCGTAAGAAGAAATGTTTTTTCACATCATCTGTAATCCATTCATCTTGATTGTCAAGGAAATTCAGTTATTAATCTAAATACAACGTCGCTATCGATGATAGTATATATCAAACCAGTTACTACGTGAAGAAATCAGGAAGCAACTTATTTGGAGTTAATATCAATTGAAGCATTAGGATGTATTTACTAGTGAAACAGGAAACTGTATTATGGTTTAAGCAAATATGGTAATTCCTGTGTAAAAATATCAATTCAAGAAAAAGAATCGCAACATGATTTCACTATTAAAATTTTATTCACATTACAGTAACATTTCCTACAGTTTGCATTAAATGCTATTAATAGCTCATTAAGAACAGTATAGTCATAACTAGAAGATTTTGAAACAACTAAAGTTTGGACACATTAAGCTTTTATGTAAGCAATAAAGGCAAATACATGAAAAAATGAAAAACAGCACGACTATAAACTCATTTTCTCCTTCACTGCAGGTTCTACCTAAAATGCAATTTTCCCTGATTTACAATCACAGCCAGCTTCTTAGAAGTTTGTCTATTCTTCAAAGACATGACATTGAACAGTTTTCCCTTTACCACTTTTTTAAAGAATTATTTTAACAAGCATTCTCATCACAGAGCTTGCTAACAAGCACCCAAAACGTGACTACTTACTGATCACCCACTAACAAGGTAGCTAGAATCAGCTTAAGCACTAAATCCTTAGTATGCCACCACTCTACTGCCTGGTTATCTTGATTAGATCATCCTGGTTTAGTTTGAAATGCATATTCTCACTGCACATACTAAAAACCACACTGCCCTGTTGTATTAGTCGTTACAAAAACATACAGAAAATTATAATTTTTTCTCAAAGAGCAGCGAGTCCTAATTTTACTAGGATAGGCATAGTAAAAATGAAAGAGTGTGTAAGGATGTGGCTTCATATATTTTAATTGATTTTTTCCCATTGTATCTGAGAAGGTGAAGAGAATATTATATTTTCTGAAGGTGGTGGAACAGGAGAGGCTGTCAGCAATGTCAATGGGAAGTTGGCACTTCCTGGGGCTAGGGCAGGTAAACAGGGCAGAAGTAAATGGCTGAAGCGTCACGCAGTACAGTAGAAGGTATAAATGAAGACTCAAAACATCAATAATATAGAGGACACAGAACCAGAAAGACTGCCTGGGAACTCTTTCTTGGACAGAGAGTATACAGCTTATACTAGGACACAAGAAACTGAGAAATTTAAACAGCTACATGAACTTCATGTGGTGATACTCAAATGTAGACATGGGTACTGGTTCTGGCAGAGAAGGGAATTTCAGTCAATGGGCAGCTATGAGTCTAAGAAGACCTTGCTGCCTGTAATGACAGAAAAACTGCCTGAAATAAAAGCAAGCTAACAGGTTGCACAAAGGCAACATAAAATTTCTGAACCCAAAAGGCAACATACGTCCTTTCCATCTATGTTCTGAATGCAGCAGATCATTCACCACCAGGATATTGGAACATAAAATTATTCTTCTTGTGTAACTTACTCTGTTTTGCTGTTTTCACAGGCTGCATATTTGAGTGAATGAACTGCTACTTGGCAGATTTGCCTTTCAGTTGCATAGCTTTTGCCTGCGATCATTTTAATAACACACTTTCTAAAATAAAAGGAACATTTTGCTTTTCTAAAGATATTATATGCTTGATAGGACATTTTGAATGTACATAACTTGAAATATACTTCACTGTACGTTTACCTGCAAAGTTGCCCCATGCTTTTTTTTCCCATTTTAAGTGAACAGTGGGTAATAGCAATAAACTAAATTAATGGGGGAGAAGGTGTAAACTAACTTCATTTAGCTGTGAAGGAATTTCTTGTTAAGGGCACTTCTTTGCTCATACCAACAGTATCAAAGCTATTTATTTGGTAATAAAAGTTTCTGGACCGAAACAGACATTTCTGAAGTTGTTGATGATTAAGTACAGTTTAAGAGAGCCATTACTTTTTGACAGGCACTATAGAAGCCAAGTGTCAGATAATATATCAGCTTCTGCTCCACTTTAATTCAATGGTCAGAACTCTTATTTTTAACGTCTTATTTTAAATATTATACTGTAAAGAATTCAGCAGCAGACGTAGTAGTTGGAGTGAAAGTAGAATATCTGCCTTGTAGAGTTAATATCGTGTAGGTATTAAATGGGATGTATTTTAATATTAGCCAAAACACGTTTTTGAACACGAACACTTGCCACAATCCACTGTATAACCACTAAAGGACGATTTAAGTTTATGCTACATACACGCGCGGAAGAAAACTGACATGAAGCCAGTGTGGAGCGGGCGCGGCGCCCGCCCCAGGCACCAGCTGGGGCGGAGGGCAAAGGTCCCTCGGCCGCGGCCCCGGCCCGGGCCCGGCCGGCTGCGGGCGGCTGCTGCTCCCCGGGGCCGTCGGGAGGGAAGGAGGGAGGGAAGAGGGAGGGAGGAAGAAGCCGCCGGGTCCTAATGCCGCCGAGCTCGGGCAGGAGCCTCCCGCCCGCTGCTGCCGCGGCCCCCGGCGGGCCGGAGGCACCGAAGCGACGCCCTGACCATCCCCAGGGAGAGTTCTCTGGCCGCGCTGGCTCGATCAGTGATCTCACGGAGAACCCCCTGAACGTGCAAAACCTCCGTGTGCTCGGAGACTGGCAGAGCTGAGCACAGCCACGGGTGAAAACAGCACCCCAGGAGAAAAGTATTGAGGGATTCGACAGAAAAAAGAAGAGGTACCGGCAGCCCCTGACATCGATGCACCTCTGTGCTTGTAAGAAATCCTGATTTTCTTCCTCAAAACTCAGCGCCTAAACTTTGCCTTGGAGCTGCTCATCTTCATCACACAGTACAGGAACAGAAAAAAAATGCTCTGAAACAGGTGGGAAAGTGAGAGAGCAGGACTAAAACTGCACATGCTGTAGCAGACACAAGCAAGATTCCAGGATCTCCCTAGCAAACCAAGAAAGGCTCTTGACAAGCCAAAGATTCAGAACAGAGAAGACTGCAAGAAGTACGGTCTGGTGAGGCAGCTTTTACACCTGTGCATGTGGAATGTACCAACATGTCTGCTTTCTGCCTTGCTCTTGCTACTTAGGTTTATTACAAGCAAATACAGCTATATAAGAGGCAGAGATACCACCCTCTGCACCCCACACTTCATCCTCTCAAACACATCAGCATGGCCAGAGCAGTAACTTCTGATGTATTTTCACTTTGCTACCTCCTTCCTCTCCTTGCCTATACTTCGACATCACTTGAAGATTAAACAGTAGGATTGTTACATCTTTATTTGTTTTATACCATTTTAGTGAGACACTTAAGTGACCTGAGATGACTTGATCTCGACTGCTAGAATCAGAAACAGGATTGAAATGGTTACTTTTATTACCTTCCAGTGCTTCCTGTGGAAATTGTGATCAATTTTGTTAATAGTTGAGTATAGTTTTTATTAATGTGCCTACAGTCTTAAAGCCTAAACCTGACAAGGGATGGGACAGACAAGCTCCACATCAGTGACAATAGAGTTAGGTGAGCAATCACAACCTCCTCCTGAAAATGAACAGGGATATAAACAGAAAAAGTCACACCCAATGTACAGCCATGAGTAGTGTTAAGTAAAAAATTTATATTAAAGAGTGGTCTTCCCATGAATGTATCTGTTCACTCCAGCATAAACTCCTCCACTACATACCATGTATAGTAGAACAAGACCATTATTTAAAAGCCAGAATACCTGACTTGTGATATGTTGTATCTATCCTGTCACAGCAATGTCTTACTCTTATCAAAACCATGGCTCTGTCACCCAGAGAACAAAAATTCTGCAGCCATGCACATATTTTCAATATATGAATCAATTCAAGCTTAGAGTTAATATTATTTGGCACATGAAAAACGCCCAACTGTCCTAATGATTCAAAACAATATCAGAAAAATTTTACTTCATGTACTTTTCAAAACTTTTCTTCTCATCTCACTGTTGTGAGTGTGCATCTCTTTCCCTATTACAGATACTAAAGAACCTTCTTGCAACATTCTGGTGTGAAGCTTCTGTGATGTAAGTGATAATTTATCTGATGTTATCAATAGGTAAATCTGGTTTGTCTTTCACATCATTATAGAACAATGAAAAATTAAATTGGTAAGAAAGCCAAAATTCAAGGAGAGCTAAGATAACCATGGGTCAAATGGTTCAATCTAATACTAATTAGTGTTTTTACAATGTGGAGAGCATTAGATCTGTGCTATTGACTTCCCAAATAGAACAATTTCTGAATCTGTCTAAATACTTTAAAAATACACAGGTGGCAATGCAAATCAGCTACTTCTGTAGTCTCTCATCAAATAGTCCAGAAATGAATACACTGAAATTGTGCCACTTTATTAAAAAAAAATAAAAATCACTATTTTTCAGTTCCACTTTACGCTCACATGACAGATGTAGCTTACAAACTCAGCAAGTTGTGTGAAAAAGAGCAATCAGACATGGTAAAGCACAGCTTTTTGAAAGAATGTATATTGAGTAATTGCTAGCACACATGTCCAAAGTGCACAAAACTTCTCAAGGATTCTAATGGGCATAAGAGCATCTTCCACATTTTTATGCGTGATGGCATCAAGTTTCACTGTGGGCTGCAATAGTGAGGGCATGCCTTGAGGCTGGCGTGTTCATTTAACATATGAGTCATTCAGCATGGAAACAACATAAATATCCACAAACTAATGAATTGTGAAAGAACTATAACATTTTCCCCCTCAGGCTTGCACCTACTAAAGTGTCACAAATTAAGTCAATATCACAGAAATGATTCAGCAAAAGAGGAATTAAGCAGTAAACGGCAGTCAACTGTTTTACAAGTCAATCACTTAACTGTTTTTACTTGAAAGAATACCAGTCAGTACAGTCATCTTAGAAAAGATCAACAGAAAAAGACACTCCAGGCTTGACTTTCATAAATACTGCAACTAAGGTAAGATACCTCTATGACATGGAAGTTGCAACCTAGATTTTTCTTCATTGATATCATCCTTCAGAATTTGAGGGATTTAAAATTAAGAAGATATAATTCCCTTTTCCCCCCTTATATGTTGGTTTAAAATGTAGAAAGATAAAATAACTAACCAAATACTTGCCGTGCAATGAATCTGAGTGAAAGATTAGCCTGGCAAAAAAAAAGGAAAAAAAAAGTTGTAAGCAGCCTAACTTCCTCATCCCAAGTTACTATATTAGCCTAAAGAATTACAACAGTTTAAAAACCCACTTATAAATACATAGAAACAGGTATCTAAGCTTATATTCATATATCTAACATGCATATTTGTACAGTGCAGCTAAAGGAACCTAGTATGCCCTAAAATTACAGTTGCTGATTTGTGTTTTGCATTTTGGCACTGGAATGAGTAAACAGCACTTTGAGGGCCAGATTTTATCTCCCTCCCACCTAGAAAGTAAAAATGAAAAGCTGAGAGTTACAGAAAAGGATATTAAATAGAAGTCACTATTAGTCACCTTCCATACCCACCTAATTTCAAATAAGGAGACTGCTTACATTGATCTTTTCGGGTCTAACTTACACACTTATATCAGACCTTTGGAGTCTGGCACAGACCTCTTAAGCTCACCCACCAGGCATTCCCCGTACTTCCTCTCCCAGTATCTTAGTGAGGATACTTTGTTTCAATTAACGCTGCCTTAGGTACCTGTTACGATGTATGTCCATACTGTGCAACTGAGCACAGTGTAGCTGGACTCTGTCAGCTTAGCTGGTACTCTGCCCCCCCGAAGGATACACTACTGTTTTCCTGCTCTCATCGTGTGCACATGGGAAGTATCCGTGTTGGCACAAGGATGCATCTGAGCTCCTTATCCTTGCCTCTAACAGGGCTAAGGCCTCTGACAGGCACGCACTGGACCGAATGCTGTTACCAGTCTCAGACATTAACCATCACCCTCTGACCAACACACTCTATCCGATTAATGCCTAATCTGCTTGTGAATCAACTCCTGAGCCACCATAGCTTTCTGCATGGCATGAGAAAATTAAGAGTTCTTAGAGTTTGTCAAAACTCCAGTGTCACTGGTAGTAGCACTGCTGGAACAGCTATATCAGCTATGAAACTAGTTCATCAGAAGAGCACTCAGTGTCTGTGCTGCTCATTACTACATAGCATATACATATCCAGCACCTCGAAATACCCTTACAAAGAAGCTTTAAGAACTGCCAGCTGCTACCAGATCAGTTCCACTGCAATATCAACCACCAGTGGGATTCAAAGAGTAGGAAGAAAAAGAGGCACAAATTCTTTGTGGATTTCAATAAGTCAATATATACACAGGTATGAATATACTTGGCTCTGGTGAAAACAAGAATTTTTCTGTAAAGAATTGTTGGCCTAAGTTATTTCAAATACTAAATTAAAAGGAATCACTTCTACTATAGTACAGTTACAGTAGCACTTTCACTGGTGTTTCTATTTGCATTTTCTAATTGTGTACATTATTTAAACACTGTGAAACTTCCAATTAAGTAGTATCAGTATAGTAATTTAGCATGCTGCCATTATATGTTTTTTAACCTATATGAGGATTAAAAGTTTCCAGCTATGATTAGTTTGTCAATAATTACGTGTTTCATATCTCCTGCAAAATTGGATGCAATGCCTGTTAGAACAGTTACATGTGTAGTGGTGAAATATGCCACCAGGGGTTAGTTATAACATACTCTGAGTGAAAAAAGAAAAAGCTGGGTTTTCTAAAATAACAGTTCAAAAATATTCAGTTCTAAATATTCAGAGAAACAGGCTTACAAACAGTGAGCCATAAATGGCCACTAACTGCCTCTCTAAAATAACTTACTTTTCTAAAAAGATGCTTTCACTGTTTTTATATGCAAGAAGTCACTGCTAAGTAAAGTTGTTGTACACTGCTTCAGAATTTAAAATACTGCATGATATAGAGCAATCCTTCTACTTTTCACATTTTAGAACAAAAATTCATCACACAAATCTTCAGAGAGATACACAAACACATTTTACTGAGAATTATCAAGTAGTGTTTAATAAATTACATGTAAATTCTTACCAGAACGCCACTGCTTTTGAAGATGCCTTGTCCATTGTTATCCTTAAGATATCCATTCATATTCATCATTAGTACCCTGCTTGCTTCGCACTCTAGCTTTGGAACAGATTTCTGACAAGCAACCCACACCTACCAACATGGTTTCTAGAAAGCAAATGATATAGCTGTAAGACATGCAAAACCAAACAGCAATTTGCAAACCACTGCAAGTGCAATGCAAACATAGTCAATATAAAATTAATTCTGAAATGTTCATCATATTATGCTGGACACTAACATAACCACAGTTGTAACATTATACTTTTATATCACCAGTTCACCTATAGAAAAACTGCAAGAGTAAAATTCCTTTTACCCCATGAAATCTCATATACCTCATCTCATTAAGGGTGGTCATTTGCCTATAAATGATTTTAATAAAAGAGCAGAATAAAGGAACATTATTCTTAATCATTGTTAAGGTCCTCTAAGGACTAATGAAAATTGAAGTTTCATTATGCTGGATAGTGTATATACACAGAACAGCAAAAGGTCCCTGAGCATATTAAAAACAACAGTCCAAACAGGGGGAAAAGTTCACACAGAGCACAAACAGCAGCACCATAGTAAATGTAACAGTAGTTCTACTTTGTCGGTGGCTTTTGCTTGCAAACAAAATAGGAGATACAGGGTAAGGTGGGCAGATCGGGTGAGGGGAAGCGTACATAGTAAGCAGGAATGAAGCAGAAGTAAAGAGGTAGAATGGACAGCAAGAGGGTGAAAGAAACAGTCAATAAGCATAGGACAGACAGCACCTAATTAAAGCTAGTGAACGTTCTCTGAATGATCAAAGGTCCCTGGGCTTTTGGCTCTTTCTGTTCCTATGAATTAGACTCTGACAAGGTCCTTTCTTTACTGCTCCCAGGCTTAGAGCAGAGGGTTATACTGATTTTCAGACTTTTCCCTATCACAATCCCCTCCCCACCTTTCAACATGGGATCAAAGATCTTTCCTGTAGCTTTAAAAAAGAGATCATCTGAATCTGCTCAACAATATCTTTATAGAACAAGTACATGCAGATCAGCCTTATTCACATGGGATCCGAGTTCTGATATTCTGACTTCAACCTTCCTAATTCTTTCTTAGGTAACACATACTGGACAAGATTCATTTACACAGTAGAAAAGTGAGGCAAGACACTGATCTGTAAAACAGTAGTTGAAAGTTGATAGGAGTACGTAAAACATTGTGTTCCACTCTGAATAACAGAGAGTTTTTAGGATTTGGGTTGGGGACAGCTGCTCCACAGACTCTGGTGCACGCAGCCAGACGAAAATATTCCAACCTTCACAGTAAACTGTGCTTGTTCTAGTATTAATTGAACAGATTAGGCTTATATCAGAAAGGAACATGCAGTATTTTCATTGTCAAAACACTCACCGTTTATATCCTCTAGCATAAATGGAGATAAGTCAGTGTAAAGAGCAAGTTTGCCCACAAAGGCAAATCAAATCTAGAAAACTGAGGTGTTGTAAATTTTTATGGGGCTGTACGGATAAGGGCAAATAAACTAGAACGAAGTCACTTTCATCTGGTATAAGGTCTCCAATACAAATAGTTTATACAGGCATAGCAACTGCAACATAATTAAAAACAATTTCTGGAATTGGGCCAGCTCTCCTAGGTTGTTTCCTTCTATGTGGAAATATGCTACCAGTATATACAGTTTTATACTGATACAGCTCTATTCATACTACAGGGAAAGGTGGCTGATACTTTAATTATGTCAGTACAGATAAAGTAGAAAAATGTCTGATAGAGAACTTAGTGTCTCACATATAGTCCATTTACCTCTTGCAAGATAGCAACAATATTCCTAGCGCAGGTGAAGCTTTGGAGTACTAATTCTTAACTTAAAAAATAATCCCTCCTGTGTAATTCCCAGAACATCACCAACCTTTGAAATGTTAATGGAATTACTAGAGACAAATCAGACTTTGAACTTCTGCCAGATTCAGGAGTTCAGCTGACAAGTTTTCTGTGTGCCACTCAGGTGTCACCATCCTTTTCATAATACGTTTTTTTTTTAAATGAACTGTTTTTTTTCAGCAACAATGCTGTGGTAATTTTGAATCTTTGTAAAAACACTGGTAAAAGCAAAGTGTGTGTTTTGGCTTGAAAAATACACATAAAGCAATTACTCGTCCTCTGCCAGACTACAGCTTTGGAAATTACCTCTGACTTGCCAATGACAATAACAGGCAAGTAGTTATCCAGCAAAATCCCTTTAGTTCAGCTGCACAATATTACTTCCACCAACATCTATACTTTATTTGGTTGTTTGAAACAGTATCTGCGAATTCAGGCTGTGCTGTTAAAAACAAGTCACCTTTTTTGCTTCTAAAGGAACAAACTTCTCCAAGTATTCCTTAAATGAGAAAAAAAAAAAAGAAAAAAAAAGAAAAAAAAAATTGTGTTCTCCTTGGGACACTATGAATGGTAACTCCCAGACAACTGAGTTGAGGCACCAGAATCACCTGATAGAACAAGAATGCATTTTCCTCCTTACTTATGACTTGTTTTACAATAGCTTCCAAACCAGACTCAAGATAAATGCATACATGCATTGTTTTTGTCTCCCTATCTCCATCTCCCCCAAAAATAAGATCCCTGCTCTTAGGAATCTTTAACTGAAACTGTAACTTCCTTATCAAAAGTGAACTGTATTGACCATAAACTAGCTAGCACATAGAATGTACTGGTAGGTAATTAGTTATTAAAAAAAAGTAACTTTTTTTTTATAGCTTAAACTTGGCCTCATCTTACAGATGGATCTGTGTTGCAAACTGAGGTTACTTTAAAGTTTGTGGTTTTTTGTTTGCTAGTTGCTCAATCTCAGTAAGAACAAAAAAAAAAAAAGGAAAATAAAAATCAACAATACGATACTTATAATAGTAGCATCCTGTCATAAATTAATAGGAAGGACGTACTTATATAGAAAATGTTAAATAAACATGATATCTCTCTTTAGAAAAATTATCTCATTGCAAATAATTAACAGAGCACTTTAAAGACCTGCCAATAAATGTAGTCCATTATATACAGAAATTGGAATTTCTCAATGGTATGAAATTCTGTAACAAATTAATCTAAAATACTTGTTACATACAGAAAGCATTGTGAAGAATTCAATACTGTAAGTTATTACTTATAAATCAACTTCACTGCTCTTTTTGACCCATGAAGAATTTTCTAATGTTGGGATGGGATAGAATAGAATAGAAATTTAAAAATTCCCACCAAGGGAAAACTGAGGAAAATCATTCTTTTTCCTGGAGATTCGAAACATTTTTTCCCCCCAGATCCCTCAGCCAAGATCCTTTTTCCAAATCCTCAGAGGTCCTCTTTTTGTTGTTACTAAGGTGAGATTAATCTTGGATATGTATTCTGCTGAATAAAACATGCTTAGGAAATTCACTCCACATAGCACTTGCCTCTGGCCCTGTATTTTGCCCCAGGAAGTATAAGTATTTATTCATTACCCTTTATGTGTGAAGCATAGTCAGATAAACAAGGTTGGAGGGTGGGAACATATATGACTGATGTCTCCAGGACTAAATGATACAGTAGGAAGTTAGTCCACAGCAAGTTGCAATGAAAGACAATGCCTCTAAAAATGGAGTAGAGAAAAAAACAGTCACAGAAACAGATAAGATTTTAAAGTAAACACTCTCACATGGTGTTTGGAAGCAGAAGGCTCTGACAAAACAGACATTGCTTAAAGAATCATCATCATCATCATCAACTTCACCAATGAGCTAGAGAGTAAATCAATTCCGGAAGTAGTCATGAAAACAACGGGTAGATATGAGCAAAAAGGTAAGTCCCCAACCAGAGTCTTTAACTTAACCAAAGCAGAGGGCACTTCACCCATCTGCAAGGTGAAATACTTGGTCCCTTAATTTAAGACTGGCTTAAAATGAACCACTGTCCTTTCGAAGTATCTTGAGTCTCAAAGCCAGGTCTCTAAATGACTGCTGTATTCACAGTGCTGCAGAAACTGAAATTCAAGTCACTGACTATCCCTCTCTGATGTACAGATTTGGACTCTACATTTGATAACAAGGACAGTATTTGTATCCTGTAAGATGGTATTCCATAACACACATAATAACTCATTCCACAGTATGATAATGAAGCTAATCTTCCAGGCACTACACAGGCTTCATCACCTCTTCTTGGTGAGCATGCCAGGAATGAGATATCTTCTCTTGGAAGACCCTGGAACTCCCATAGCTGTATTGCAGACAGGGAAAAAGAGTCTCCTCCTTCACAAATGTAACCAACCAGCTCAATATGACAACACTACAATAGTGGGATTGAAGAGTACAATATTTAAGCTGGATATTGATGACCAGGATAACAAATTTCTGGGCCTGCTCTCAAAAGAATGTCATGATGCTGGGAACCAAAACCAGCATAGTATGTTGGGTGCTGCCAAAAGTCCTGTCATTGTTGTTAAGCCCTAAGGTAACCTACATATCAGCTTGCACAGCCAATGAGTCCTCTCTCAGACATTCTTGGAACACAAGTCCCAAGAACAAGTTAAGATGCGTCTTTCTCAGGGGGCAGGAAGCTAATTGTGTTCCAAGGAGGAATGGAATGGAACTAAGATATTCCATAAAACTAATCCATCAACGTGTTAGCCACAGAGAGAGGTCTGAGCTTATATATTGCACAGATACTTCTATTTTAAAGTGCTAATTGCGTATAGTTACCTACAGTGATAGGAACTGTCTCTTAAAATATGTCACTTCTCTAAGATTGAATGTGCTGTCTGCTATGTGACTTTTTTTTAATTATAAAAAACATTTAAGTAACTGTTGCTCAGATTTTCTATAACTTTACAAATTCAAGAGGTGCAGAAATTTGCCCCCAATCCTTTAGTATCTCCCACAGCAAGAATGACAAGGATCACTGATTTCTATAGAGTGGAAAAAAAAAACACCTGTATTTTTCATCACCATGAACACGCAACTTATTACAAGCATGTGATACTTCCTCCACTTAAATAGAAAGCTACTATAAAACCACTTGTATTTTAATAGTTTTGTTTAACCAATTGCTTGGCAGGAACAGTTGCTTACTTTCTTAAACCAGATGATCTACTCCAGATGCACCTGTTTCTCTCACATTCTATATTGCCTATAGAACTGAATATAGGAAATCCAAAATCTATCTCATTGATGTTAATGGCTCATTGAAGTTAAATGTCTAAAAAGATAATACATGTATTTCTTTGATTTGTTGTAATCTTTTATCTTAAAATACTCTCCATTTTTATTCTTGACCTTGATCTCAAAATTCTGATCTTTTATAGTATCTTTCTGATTTTGAAGAAGGCAAGGAAATAATTCTATAGTTGAAACTGGATAAGTCTTAAAAACAAATCCCCAAATCTTTAATGTTTTCTCTTTGAAATACGATCACATAGAAGAAGAACTTTTTGGTTTTAACTACGAAAATTTATTGCTCTTTCTCTAAAAATTATGGAACAATTTTCCACTTTTTCCTCCTCTCCCAAAAACAGAGAGTGAAGGAGGACCCTGGATGATTAACTAGGACAAGTTACTGGAGACGGCCATAACAGTTCCTGTTGCCATTGTTCCTCTCCATGTTTCCTGTCTCTGTTACTGAGGTAGCAGTACCTGCTACACCACTGTACTTTGCAAGTTCCAGGTGACTTTAAAGCTCTAGGTTACAAACTATACTGAGCTGTCACAACACAAAACACTGAGCTACCCCGTCCCTGTCCCTGGAGAAAGGAGGGACCAGCTGGAGCAGGAAACAAACCAAGTTAATCCCATGATCTGAACAGAACCCCTAACACTTACTCTCCAATATAAAAGCTGTTACTTCTAAATTACGCACGCATTACCAAAAGACTGGGAACTCTGTCTTTACAAAATGGAAACTGTAGTAGTTAAACTAGCTACACACTCATAGCTACCTGTTGGAAACAAAATAAAAATGTGGTTGGAATTAGCACTAGACATTCATGTTCTGTGTCAGTATAGAAGTACTCTTTGGGAACAGTACTGCTGAAATGTTAGATAACTATATAATGCTCAAACTGCAACTAACAAATCCTCTCACAAATAGAGGCATATCTATTTTAAATTAAATGTTAAATGGAAAGTATTTATAATTTAAGTTGCACCCTTTACTACTTAATTATCATAATTTTGAAAAGAAGAAACCTTTAATTTCCTCCTCCAAAGAAGTTATTTACCCAAACTGTAGCTCGGGAGTCCCCAGTAGTCTCTTCTTAAATTCTCATCCCACTGAATGTCAAAGACTTAACATTTCAAGGATGGGATTTCAACATCAGTTATTGACAACTTAACTTTGTCTCACTAAAGATAAACCAACCTTTATTCCCACTCAGGTCAGCTCATTGATTTCACAGAAAACACATCTAGAAAGCAGAGCTGAATATTTTCAGAAATTCCACCCATCAGATAAAAACAGGAAAAAAACAACCAACAAACAACAAACAAATTGATATAAAACATTTAAGACTTTTTGATGCATGATAAATCAAGTATTTTTGTGTACTTGTGTGCATTACAAGTAACTGAAACTACTGTTAACAGCTTGCTGAAATAATATAATCTCAAATACTTTACCTTCTTACTCTTCAGGTACAGGAATCCTGACCTATGAAGAAAACCCAGTTTTGTCCATGTACCAGAGGTGAAACAATAACAGTTCTGCTGAAAGAGTTAAAAAAAAATACCCTTGCTGCTCTCAATATCCGTATTATAGACATTGTAAGCATTATTATGAATAACACTGAACTTGGTTTCTGTTTTGCTCTTGTCCTACTTTGGGTTCTGTGGAATGGTGTTCAATAAAAGTTTGACTTCATGTACAGTCAGAACCTCTTCTCACCAACAGGAAAGCCTAATAAGCTTCAGAATATATATTGTTGTTCAATTACATTAAAAATAAAGTCAAAGCCCTCAGTTTTTATAACTCTGTAGCATTTATAAAAAAGTATTTTAAAATCGTACCTTGTGGGCACTATTCATAGCATTCATACTGTAAAATAAGACAAGAAAATTTAAGCATTATCTCCAGAATGAATTCAGTTTTGTGAATTCTGTGGTTTGTGATTTTATTGAAATGCATTTCAACTTTCAGAAGTTCACTGAAGCAAAAGCCTCCTTTTCATTACTGCTGTTCCTGTTTGGAGTATGTTAACAGTTTTTAAGCTTTTCGTAACTAGTTTCTGATTTTTAATTATCCACTACATTTATAAAGCATATCTTCGTGTTTTCTTTAAGTATAAGGGGACTAAACCAAAGGCTTACACTAAAGAAGTGATGTTCTTTCCATGTCACTGAAGTTCTTAGCATCAGGAAGGCACTGATAAGAAGTTAAGTATGTGCACAAAAACATACAGAACAGGAGCCTTAGTTTCTAGACTCCAAAGATATCATAGTATTAAATTTGAAAAATCAAGTACTTCTAATTCTGTAGGATTTTTAGCAAGACAAATGGTATTGTTAAGGCTTCTGAGATTATATATGTGTCTACAAAGATGCAAGTGATCCAGTAATTTTGCAACAAGGTAGACAGGTATCATGAAAAGATTCTAGATTTGTGCACCACTGAAAAGGGTGACAAACTGTAACCTGCTACTCTGATATGAAGCATTTGGTTGTTTGGCTTTTTTCCAGATTATCACTTGTTTGGCTGTTGGTTAAAACACCAAATTCATAGTGAGTTCTCTCGGTGAGAGAATCCTCATCTTTTTTGTGTGAGAGAACACACAAAAAAAATTCAAGTTACTGTTTAAATATTCACAAGTATTCTATTAATCTACTTCTAATACTTCTTATTGAATGTACATTGCATAGAATTCCCATGCAGAACATGACCATAAACCAATTTCTGCTGTGAAGTCATTAATGTTATAAAAATAACTGGCTGTCTTGAAAAAAAATAAATACGATGTACTATAACCATTTGTCTAAAATTAAATTCTGATCCAATGTTACAATGCCAGGATTTAAGGATCTATTTTATGAAAAAAAAATAAAAATTTACTGGCACAAAATTCAAAAGCTGATTTTTTTAAATAGAAAAATTTCCAAGTTGTGAAAACCTGTCTGTGACTTCCTTTTTACTTCCTCTGAATGATTTGAGACCTAATAACTAACATTTAGATCCAACAACTCCTGGCTTAGCAAAATACTGAATTCATATAATAAACACATAAGAAAATTATGAAAAAGCTTCCAGCAAAAGGGAATTGTGTCATTAAGATCATCATATTCTCCATCAACAGCTACTCCAGAGATAATAAGTGGTACTAAAATTATTTTCCAGACAAAAATTTCCCTCCATGCATCTTGTAAGTATGTGTGCTACTGCATATGCCTTTTCATTTCAAGACACTTCACGTGTCAAATGACCAACACAAAGGGTCTGACAGGACACTGCATATGTGCTCGTTTGAATGAAATGCCAGCATACCAAACCCAAATAAGGATAATTTAAGAAAACTTACCTGAACTTGAGGAAGCACCTCTTAGCTGCATCGGTGCTAATTCCCAAATGAAGACTCTTCCTTGCAAATAAGTGAGCTTTCTTCAGATCATTATTCTGTGGCACAGGCTCCTCCAAATGGCAGAATGAATGTATTGCCATTATTGAAAATTTACAGATAATCTGAAGAAATTGAACTGAAAGCAAGAAATACAGCAGCTTTATTTTCTGTAAACTTACTGAAAATAATTCAGTTAGTTTTCAAGAACTTGTTGCTTATCAATAGCATTTAAAACCACATGAAAGGTATGTATATTCAGTGATTGATGAAATATAAAGGAATTAAGGAAACCAGATGGACCATTCATTTGAGTAGAAATACCCAGATAAAGAACTTCCATTTAATGCTACTGCAGAGCACCATTTCAATAAATTTTAGGGCTGTCTCTCATACATTATATATTTCTTCTCTGCAAAGAAGTTTTCATAAGGGTATCTATAACGATACACGTATTTTTGCAGAATGTTTACTTGTAATATAGAATTATATTCCAAGTAGTTCAAGTTATTCCTTCCAGTTTTAATTATTTTATAACTACAAATACTGAATGACGTCTACCAGTGTTACGCTTATATAGCCAGCTTTAGAAGGCTGCCCTCAAGTTCCTCACAACTTTCTCCCGTTTTACAGAATGTATGCAGCATTTTACTTTGGATGCTTATTTGAGGACAAGATGAATCACATCTAAGACAGATTTTAGAGGCATAACTGGATGAGCATCTATTCTGGTAAAATGCCAGTTCAAACAGAGATGACCCTCATGGTGCTTATTCTCGTCCTTGTGCCATGACCACATTTGTGCAGATGTATCTGCTGGTGGAGCCACCCGCTACACCATATTGAAGAACCGACTTGGGTTAAAAATTGCTGCTTGCCATAGACTCCTCAGGATCAATATTCTGACTCAAGTCACTGCATGACAGCACAAATGACTGTGCTAAGACAATTGGAGGGAAAGTAAGCAAACAAGACCACATAGCTAATTGCAGTACAAATGCCAGTGCTCGTAGGGCCACACCAAAACTGCTTGGGTTACAGTTTCCTGCCAGAGGCCATACACTGCCAGTTTAAGGTGGGATGAACTACATGCGGTGTGTGAGTGTATGGATACATGGGTACATCTGTCTTTTCCACTAACAACAGAAGCAACTTAGATCATTGTTTAGATTGCTAATCACAGAAGAGATTTCTGCTGTTTAACATGTCTGCTTAAGTTAGGCCAGACCTTTTCTAACTTTTGAATCCACCATCTGATTTCAAAGATTGTCAAAGACAAAAGTTGAAAAGTCATTTACATTTTAATAAGAATTCAGAATTCCAAGTACTGGGCAGGTGGACAGAGAAGACCAACACAGAAACTGACCAAACTGAAGTACAGACTGGAGCATATGCCCATGCTCTTAGGGAACAAGTACCTAGATGAGAGACACACCTTACAACTACCCCAGCTGCAGTTGGTATTTTTCATTCCCTCTAAGATACAACTACATGGGAAGCTAGTGGCTATTGGATCTTGTGCTCACAGAACTACTTGATTATCCATGCAGAATTCAAACCTACTTAAGTGGCATTAAAATAAGAGTCCTTGGTCTGCAAATTCCAGTTCTGCTCCTTGTGCTCAGTTTAAAAGTACATTATGTACAACACTTGATAGCTTCTGGTCCTCTGGCACAGCATCTCATCCTAACGAGATGCATTCTTCTTAGCAGATCAGCCACTTCATCCTTTAGAATGACTAAATGAATGAACAGCATCAAGTCCTTATGACTTAGGAGTCTTCAGCACTTTATTCTAGCATTTAGTCTTTTGATTCTCTAATCCCATAATCACATAACTTCCCATCAATATTATTTGAAAAGAATAAAATGTATATGACATCTCTGTGGTGAAGAGTAGCATAAAGAAATAACTCCACTTCTTCCTAGCACCTCTTATTCCTTTTAATTGTTTTCTATAGTCCCTGAAAGTCCAAGAGATGTGTCAAGTCCTTCAAACAATACTTGCAATGTTACCATCCTCGTATTTTTAAATAAAAGCATACAACCAAATGTTTCCCTGAAATACACTGATACCAATAAGACATGACAACTATATCCTGTTACTGAGATTAATTTCCATATTTGGAAGGGTTAAAATGTTACATAAAAACATTTCTGATCACATGCAGGTGAATGTGATTGGCCCTTTACTTGCCTATATCCAAGCAGTAATTTTGAGATTTCCTCTTTTATCACCAATTTCTCACTTAAAAGTAAATAATTAACAACACTAAATGAGAACAGTTAAAGAGGTATCAATGGAAACAAATTTTATCCAAAAACAGGAAGGAAATTCATAGGAATTCCCTGCACATGAGAAGGATCATACTATTGTTAATCAAAATACAACTTCTTAAATAAAAATACTGTCCATCTTAATATTCAATTAACATTTGTTGTTTATTAAACTCAACCAGTTGTATCTCAACATCTATGTATATTCAGAATCTACATAGTATACTCTAACAGTGGTGGGGTTTGTTGGGTATTTTTTGGAGTGGTGGTGGGCTAGGATTTTTTTTTTTTTAATGTAAGAATGCCCTTGCATATTCAGAGTCCTTGCTTTGGAAAGTTTGGAAAGGCCTCAAGCCTTTCTTAGGCTGCTAACCTGCACTGATGGCTTTGTTACTGAAGTGTTGACACTGGTGGTACTTGAATTAGGCAAAATAAGCTTAAGCCCATTCATACAGTTCAACTGCACATAAAGCATCATTTTCAGGCACTCTACTCTGGACTAGTTCCAGTACTGGAACCAAGTCAACTGTATGCTAGGAAGGAATAGCTGTACAAGGAATTCAAACTGACATAAAACTGTATACAAGAAATTTGAAGCAATACATAAGAAGGCATGGGTGTATTTCTCTTACTGTTTTAAATCTTAAACTTAGGTGAAATTTGCAACTCCATGCTAGAACGTTATGCAACAGGTAAAATAATGGCAATGATTTGCTAGAGGTTAGCTTACTCAGTTAATTTTTTTTTTTACAAATAAAATACCTATTTGCATAATACAAGTGTGATAACCAAAAATCATTCCAGTTGGAACAGAACCCAGAGGTCATCTAGTTCAACCTCCTGCTCAAAGCAGCATTAATATGTGAATACTCATTAATGATACAAGTTGTACTCCTAACCCTGCAGACCACTAATTGCATGTAATCCTTAATCAAATGCACTCAACTGCCTTTGATAGCATTACTTATCTGCAGAAAGGTTTGTGGGACCAGTTACTTGTCATACATTATTCCTAAGCATGGAACATTATAGTACTTCCTAGCTACACTCGTAACACCAGCACCATGCTTCCATTTCATTTTAAATGTCTTTTAAGCAGGTACTGTGTGAGAGCAATTTTCAAAGGGGGCCCTGCAGTACAGGGGTAGATTTTGATAGATGAGAAAAGGATGGAGTGAAGTAGGTGGTAAAATGCCACTAAGTGAGGCAGAAGCACAGAGCCAGGTCCTGGTTTCAGGTGTGTTTCACAGGTTGATGAATGCAGAATAGAGGTCCTGCTCTGAGAGATACCTATAAAACCAGAGAAATTAACATCACTGGCAGCAACAGTCCTGTAGTTATCAACGCCAGTGACCAAACTTCAGCAGACTAAGTTTGGGAACCTCTATTTTAGTCCTGCCATTTTGTTTTGTTCCTCCAGTTTTGTTCTTATAAGGACCTTCATTTTTCATCTCTGTTTCAGTTTACACCTTTGTTTCATGCATGAAGAAGTGATTTTATATGGTACAGCACTACCCATTTAAAAAAAAAAAAGAAAAAACCACAAAAAATCCACAGGTTAAAAAAAATTTTGAAAAGTTTTATAAAACCATGATTAGCCAATCACACAAGTTGAATTACAAAATAAATTTGCCTTATATTAGCTCAGTATTGTCCTGTGTGCTGAAGCAAGAAATACAGTAACATTTTATCTATGCTGTATGGCAATATATGGACTCTGCCACATAAATTAAACAGAGAAAAAACCTTATTTTCTAAAAAGTTATTTTATTTAAATATTTATTACCTGCTATTGTAAGTAACTGCAAATATTAATACTTTGGACACTTTATTGTAAACCATATAAATACTATTTAAGTGGTAACAACAACAACAACAAGAAATAAACAGCACAAGGTTATATAGAAAAAAAGGAATTTACTTTAGTAGCTTTGATAAGCCTGGTCTTAGGCCTACCAGAAAGGCATTTTAAAACATCAGGCTCTGGAATTTTTTAAATACACTGAAAACCTTTTCAATTCTACAGTTCCAGACATTATTTACATGCCTTCTCCAAGCATTCATTAACAGTCACTGCTGTATGCTAGGTTGCATAGGGCCTCTCCCTATTTGACCTGATATACCAGCTCTTAAAGTACAGGGTACTTCAACAATTTTCTCTTAACTATATACAAAAAGAGTTAAATTTAGACCTCTCAACAAGCTTGCATATAAGTGGCAGAAATAAGTTCATGTGATGGTAATAATGGCCCATCTTCGCGAACGAAGATTTGGGGAAAGGTCTTTTTACCTTTCCAGCCTGCGCAATGGATTTTTTAGGTGAGACACAGCCTGCGCTGAACTGAGCCCACCCTTTAATCCTAAGGTTCATCTGCCGGGGCCAAGCAAGCTTGGACAATGGCAGTGAGGTCCTCAGGACGTAGGTTTGTTTAGAGTGTCCTTCTCATAGATGGATGGCCACACAGGGCTAACGACCTCCATCAGGCCAGGAGACCGGGGACTAGAACCCGTGGTCGCAGCAGTGAAAGTCCTGCACGCTAACCACTAGGCCACCAGGGGTCTCTCATGTGATGGTGCACATGCATCAACCACAGGACCATGAAAGAAAGGGACATGGTTGAAAGATGTACGTATGAAGCAGCAAGAGATAAGAATCAAGCAAGCAATTCTAAACCCATAAATGAGAGATCAGATGGATCCCCAAACTGACAGGGCATCTTCACCAGCAAATTTCTACCTAAAGTAGAAATTTATTTTGTACTTGCGTAAAGAACCTTTAATATTTTGTCTGATTAACAAAGCTGAATAATCAATTCTACTAAATATTTAAGTTCCCTTTAACACCAAACTATATTGCTTTTGTATTTTAGACAGTAAAATTTTCCTAGAGAGTAGTTGTTTGTGGCAAAACTAACTGCATTTCCATGTTTTCAACTTTTTATAGGAGTATTGTATTTGGCATTCTAGTTGAGGCAGGAAGTTCAATACCTGACTACCAAGGAACAAGTCACTGTGCTGGCACCTTGTCTGAGGGAAGAGAAACAAATTGCAAGGAGATGCTCTCATGACATCCTACCAAGACAGATGTGTCCACACCTTGCTAGGTGCTGTTGCCATATAAAAAGCAGATGATTGGTTTTGAGTTTTGGCTGAGGTGTGAAACTACTTTCATGACAGCTTTCAATAGAAAACAAGCAAAAAAGAAAAGAAAAAAAAAGAGAAAGAAACAATTGTTAGTGTCAATTATGTTGTATTGTTTACAGAAAATGATATCAGCACAAAAGTTCTGCATAGCACACCACTGGTTATATGAAAATTGCCAGTGTGGCTAGTTAATAACATTTCTGATATAAGGAAAAAGCACTATGAGACCAAAAACGAAAATTACAGCCATTCCCTTCTCTTTTAAAGGCAGAGGTAGAAATGATGCTTTATGTAGAATAATTACTGAACATTACGATAGCTTTGAAATATATTATCTCTAATTTTAAAGTATAAAGGAAGGTTGAGAGATTAACAGGGAAGAGGACAATAAGATGCATTTAAAAGGCCAATAACCTGCAACACCTGAGAATAAGAGGGGTGATAAATTTGCATCAGCAAACAAGAAGTTAGTAATATCTGGTTTCAGCCAGAGGTTGAACTATTGATATGTCAGGCTCTAGGGAAAAAATGTAATAGTTTTTGGTTACCACCATCATCGCTCCATTTACTTCCCACATCCCTCACCAACACAGGATCCAAGAATTACAGCAAAAGGCTCTAAAAATACTTTGAGGATTTTTAAAAATTTTTTATTTAGGAAGGATAGTGGTCTCCAGGCCCAAAATGCTTGCTTTTTGAGTGTGTAGAACCACATGTATTCTTACAGCAATTAGCGTAACAAAACTCAATCATGATGTGGTGTTTCAGCACCACAAAATAAAATCTGTCATATAAAAATAATATATAATATAAAAATATAAACATATCTATGTTCTACTTCATAAATATAAATTATTTTCTTTCATTATCCCTACCTAAGAAATTTATTCATATCATCAGATTTACTTCCTGTTTCACAAATACATTAACAAATACATTCACAATCATATTAACACCAAGCCTGATACTACGTTTTTCAGACATTAAAAAACCCCATCAAAGGATAATTCAGAAACAGGAAAGATTTTGCAAAGGCTTTAAGTTCACACAGAATTACCCCCACCAAGTTTAACAAACTATTTAGACTCATGCAATTCTGTGAAAAATCAGGTAAGTATGCAATATACTGGCAATTCAAGAAAGAGGAGATAGGATAGGTATTTTTAAACTCTTCAGAATAAGCATTAGCATTTCTTTGCCTTTACACAGCACTTACTAGAAAGAGATGCTAGAAACTGGAGCCTCTGGTCATGTATAGTGTCAGTGGCTATAACTGTACTGGCATCCTCACACAGGACAGATGTCTCCCCAAATGGGACTGTAGAAAGCAAAAACATGCAAGACTAAATAAGAAAAGAACCACAAGACAATAGAGATAAAATTTAGCTCAAGTGCTGTAAGTACCAGAGGGAGAAGTCTCTAATTGGTAGGTAACACTATAAGCTTAACTAGGTAAGAATGGATAATCTGTCATTTTAAAACTTCATAAAATGTATCATTGCTCCTTCTTCTTTCTCAGTATCGACATCATGCCAACTTAGAATCAGTTTGCTTGAAGAGACCCCTTCCTTTTGTACTGTAATACATGAAAAATGTCTTGAAGCACGTTATGGAGTGTAACAAGAATTGTCTAATTTCTTGGACAGCGAGTGTGTTACTTAATATTCTTTGTTCTGCAAACAGAGGAACCAGATTCTGCAGGCAAGATATTTAGAATTTTTTTTCCCAAGAGTCACAAGGGTTCAACTCTAATTACTATGTTTGATTACTTATTTTCAAGAAAACAAAACAGCCTTCAAAGTTACTTTGAAAACAGAATTAAACAATTGAGATTCTTTTTTAAAGTGTCATGTGTTATACCATATATTGTTTATTTGCATAGCTATAATTTGGCATTAATTTCCCTTTTATGAATACACAGAAAATAGAGATAGGAAAATTGGGATGGTGTAAAATGTGCTAAGTCCTGTAAAACACTGCCTTCAGCTGCTATTGCTGAAAACCAAGATTCTCAAAACAAATAAATCACCTTACTGATAACATGTCTTTGAATTCTGATGTAAGCCAGTTAAAACTAAAAATCACCTTAGAAATCTCAGACTTTCATGCAGGGAAAGGGAAAACAAGTATAAAGGCCAAACAAAAAGGAGAGCGAAATACAACCCGCCTTAAAAGAGCAACACCAATTAACATATGAAACCAGAAACCAACATATCATATCCGGGCAAATACTATCTATTTGTTCACTTAATTTCAAAACACTTGTCTTGCTCTAATCCTTTTTACTCTGTATGTCTTTTAACCAATGCAATTCCAAATTTCCACATCAGCTTTTCAAGTCCTTAACATCAAGCTAGCCAATATCGTTGCCATTACAGAGACATGAATTTTGTTTGACTGTTGTTATATTACCTCATGCTGAGTCCCATTCAATTTCTTCCATCAACATTTCATCATTGATATTTTCCCACTAGAAATATTCCTGAAAATAATTCATTTCTGAAAACACAAGAGCTACTAAGTTAAGTCTTGGCTATTGTTCCCTACTGGAGTAGGGTCAGAAGCCTACAGGCTGTAGGAAAGCGAGGTAAAATAATTGAAATAATAGAATGAAAGTTAAGAAAAAGTATTTTGAAGGCCAGATGAAACTCCCAAATGGAAATCTTTACAGTGATTTCTGAGAACACTACATCAGGTCTAAAGTGTTCAGTTTCTCTTTTTGCTACAGGGCAAAGAATATGCTCCTGTTAAGGATGCCAAAATAAAAGGCACTCTTATGAGATCCAAGAAGAAAAAAATAAGTCTACCTTTTACTCAGAGCAATATATAGATTTCTTATCCTCTGGCAAGGCTACAGGTACCATAGTAAGGAAAAAATATAGCAGTTCTTTTCAAAAGTACAAGGGAAAAAAGGTGTAAAAATATAAGAGGTTTTTAATTCAGAAAAAAGAGAAAGGTTTAAACAGACAACAGTTTACAAAAAAGAACCTGGCCTCTTATTTTAGCTACTGATTTTATAACCTCTGTCTCAAAAAAGATGTCCCTCCCTTTGGTTAAAATACTGCAATGCAATAGCCAAAGGATACTACATGTACACATTAAAATCAGTAATGTTAGTAGGTTGTTGGCTTAAAAATAGTTATGAAATGCAAGAAAGTTTATAATCACAGTCACCTTGACTTTATATACACAGAAATTATGAAAGTGAGATGATGGTGACTAAGCTTTCTTGTAGTCCATATCTGACAACAGAACATCACTAACATATTTAAGCATTAAACAGAGAAAAAGAGCTATACGTATAATCAGTTACTTTATTACTCTTATCTTTCCAAAATGGCACTTTGCAAGTTTAAATTTTAATGTTCTTTTGTTAGTTTTTGGAAAAAGAGGAAGAAAAATCAAGCAAGCGTAAAACCCAAGAAACAAAATCTTCAGAGCAAAAGTTTTCAGCTGGTGCCTCCCACTCCATATTCAGTTTCTCGGGGACCATCACGCAGCAACAATCTGGTTAGAAATAAGCAGCCAACGGGTGTGTAATTTGCATGTGAAAATATTTTTAGAAGACACACACTAATACCATATGTTCTCAGCCTGAGTACAATTTTCTAAATATATGCCCTGAATGTTATTTCCCCGATATTCCTAAGTGTGTTCTAGACAACGGTTTCTTGTACAGATATGTTGCTCTTTGAAAGCAACATACATATCAAGCCTCAAAAAAATTAAACTCATTAAACTCATTTCAGAGTTCATCTTGGGGAGGCCTGGGAGGAGCCTCTATGAGTTCTTACTGTCAATGTAATGACAAAGTTGGCAAATTATGCTTGAACAAGAGTGCAACAAGATGATGATACCCAGATTCAGAAAGTTAAATTGGGTATGTATGTTCGTTCACTTGCCTGAATCAAAGCAGTTTCAAAAACTGTATCTAAAAACCCTTCTACTCTATGTTAAGAAAAAATAGTTTCAAAAGGTAAAGACAGAAATCAGTAAAACAAGAAATAAGCCATGTGCTCGTATATTGTTAGTTAAATCTAAACCAAATCTAACCAAATTGACACAACATGTCAGAGAAAACTAGATTTGAGCAAACAGCAGTCTAACTAGATCCCAAAGTCATTACCAGTCCACATCTGGAACACTCAAATCAATTCCTGATGACTGCAGGGTTGGCATAACATAGCAATTATTACTTTAGGACTGTTTTGTTCAGGACAACTGAGTTTCTATTGTATCGTGAGATGAAAAACGTCAGTTTCTTTTCTTTGCCAACACGAAAATTCTCTTCCTCAAGCATATGGAAAAATTCAGGTCTGGATTCTTTCTTTGGCACAAGCTTTCCTTTAACCAATTTGAATATCAGGGAGGAAAAAAGAAGTTACACCAGTAAATCCTACTGTGGTACTTAACAGTATATAGAAAAATAATTGACATCATAGAATAGTTTGGGTTGGAAGGGACCTTTAAAGGTCATCTAGTCCAACCATCCTTCAATAAGCAGGGACACGTTCAATGAGAGATCAGGTTGCTCAGAGCCCTGACCAAAATGACCTTGAATGTTTCCAGGGACAGGGCATCAACCACCTCTCTGGGCAACCTGTGCCAGTGTTTCACCACTCTCATTGAAAAGTATTTCTTCCTTATATATAGTTTGAACACACCCCCTTTTAGATTAAAACCATTGCTCCATGCGCTATTGCCACAGACCCTGTTAAAAAGTCTGTCCCCAAATGTAAATTAATTTACCAATGGACCCTAGACACCCCAAGGAAAACTAAAAAATTACACTACAACGATAAGAAACTAAACCATAAGCAAGTATTACTAGGGCTGAACACACAATACTCCGAGAGTCCTAAAATGCCATGAGAAAAATTACTGCATACGTACAACTACCTAATGAAACTATTAAACAACATTTATTCAGTGGATTGCATTATTTGATCGGTTTTAACAGTTAAAGAGAGCCATTGGAAAAAGAGATTAAATACATATCAAATGCAGTGTGTCCATAGAAACACCCATCTCAATGGATGTAGAGCAAATTAGTTCCTTCTCCTACTCAACATAGCTAAAAGTGCTTTGCACTTCTGATGAAAGTACACAGAAAAAAACCACATTCTCCACAATGAAAGCACTAATGAACCAAATCACAAGATCAATATTAAAAAAGATTTCTCACAAAATTATTAGCAAGTTTCATTACAATCTTTCTCCAGTCAGGCAAACAGCTTCCTCCAATAGAGCAAAATACCCTCAAACATTAATTAAATCTTCAAAACACTGCTGTAAAAATTACAGGAATAACTACAGCAAAAAGCTAGATTATAGATGTTACAATGGACCCATCATACTAACATATCATTTCGCGATGAAAATCACACAGTGCTAAACACTTTTTAAAAAGGCAACCAGGGTTAACGTGTCAAGAAAGCAGAGGCCGGAAAGCAGAGGCAGGCAGCAAGGGAGAAGGTATTTTCTGTGCTATCACCAGAACCATTCCCTGACTCATTCCCTCCAGCCCCGGGGAGCAGGCTGGCTTGGTCCACACTGACAGCTTTCTTGACGTAAGAGAAGCAGAGCACTGACCTAAATGCCGAAGCTGCTGAGCTCCTTGCAGCTCACGCCCGAGGAAAAGGAGCCAACATGGATTCAAGTGCCAGCTACCGCAGCCCGAGGCTGCTGCTGCTGCAAAAATGCTCGCCGAGACCGAGAGTCCCACATCACCTCGACCTCTGGAGCCTCAAATCTCCAAAAACGACTGTAAAGCGAAGTCTAGGCTGATATTAACAGTAGAGATTTTCAACGGGGAGCTGCACATCCCCGCAGCGCTCCCGTAGCAGCAAAACTGGCAGTACCAGGGGCTCGGGCAGAAAGGCAAAATCCGAGGTACCGCAACCTCGGACAAGGTTAAACCACACCCTGGGCGCGACTTGAGCCGCAGGTTAATCATCAACTCCGTGCCCCGAGCAAGGCGCGGAGCCGCAGCAGCGCCGTCTCTCCCTTTACCGGGGCCGCCCCTCCCGCTCGGGAGCTGCGGCTGCCGCGCGTCACCCCCTGGACCGAGGGGCGGGCAGAGGGAGCAGGTGCCGAGCCCTCCACGCTCAGGCGCCCGGGGAGGCGGCGGAGGACCACCCCCTCAGGCCGTCCCTCCCACCGCTCCGCCTGAGTGATGGAGCGCGGCGGGAAGGAGCGGAAAATACCTCGAGGCCGCTCGCAGAGCTGTGGCCAGCCCAAATCCCGCCTGCCGGCGGCTCCGCCCCCGCTGCCTGCCGGGAGCGGGGCGGGCGGGTCCGCATGGCGGCGGGAGCGCGCCGGAAGCTGCGCAGCAACTGCAGCGGCAGCGGCTGGGCGGGCTGAGGCGGCCACGCGCGACGGGGCCCAGGGCTGCGCGGGGAGCCGGGAGTGCCAGGAACCGGGAGCCGCGGGAGCGGTGGGAGCCGGCAGGTGAGAGCGAGGCTGGAACCGTGTCCACTACGGGCCGGGTGGGGGCTGTGGCCGGTGGAGAGTGGCGGCCCCGGCCTGTCCCGGGCCCTTCGGTGTGGCTGTGGCGGAGAGCGGGGAGGTCTCCCGGGTTCCGAAATGCCGACTGAGTATTTCATGTCAGTAGCTGTGCGGGGAAGGGGCGCGACCCCTCCGCTCCCCGTTAACCAGGGACGCGCTCGGTGCGGTGCCGTCTGTGTGTGTCCGTGCACACCCGCCCCTTGCACGGCTTCCCGTGTTCCAGCGATTAACTCTACAAACGCTTTTTTCCTCTGCAGTCTTTCCATAGCGTATGGACTACTCTGGATGTGGATTAAGAACTGAGGAGGCAGTTTAACCATAGGTTTATCTGAAAGAGCTGGACACGTTTCGGTGTGGAAGGGCAGGACCCGCGCACTGGGCTGGACCAGCTGCCTGCCTGCCATCCATCCATCCATCCACCCTTAGCCCCTCATTTCCACTGCCGTGGGGCAGAGATTAGGGCTCTGCCTGCGCCAAGTCTCTTCCCGAAGTCTTGCATCTCTTAGCTGCAGCTATAATAAACACCATTAGTGTAAACCATATTAAAACACTGACTTTTTTTTTCATAAAAACTGAATGTTTTGTCAGCAAAACACGTAGCCTCTATCGCTTCTCATACACCCATAAAAGCATTTGGTATGAGAATGTTTAAGACAAGTCTGACTGAAGAAGAAACTTTTAGAACTTTCTAAACTTGCACCCTAATTTATTTCGAAACTTCATGAGTTTTATCTTAATTTGGTTAGTCTGCGTTAGGCTTCTTTCAGGAAAGAAATTTGTGTTTGCTCCCCCACCATGGAGATTTGCAATTCTGCCCAGCACTTACAGGCTGTGATGTAGAGAGAGTTGCTTCCAGGTCCCTCTGAATGTCACCTCTTCCCCGCAGCCCATCGGTCGCACCACTCGGCTTGGTGTCATCCACAAAATCCCTGAGGGAGCACCCGGTCCCACTGTCTGTGTCCCATTGCTGAAGACAGTAAATGGTATTGTCCCCAGTATGGGCCCTTGAATGACACCACTCATTTTTGCTTTTGGCATAGAGCTTCAACTCTTTGGATGTGGCCATCCAGCCAATTCCTTAGCCGTCTAATAGTTTACCCATCAAACTATATCTTTCCAATCCTTCCCTTTTTTCCTTGTTTTCTGTCTTCTGCCTTGTCAGCTTTGTAGGTCATTGGAGTTTTCATAGGCCAGTTTAACTCACAAATAGCAGAAAAACTTGTGCTTTGCTGAGTTTTCTGCTTTCCTGTGAGTTCGGTTAGCTCATGGAAAGTCTGATGAGTATGTGAGGTATAGGGAAGGTGGGGGGAGAGAAATAGAAGAGAGGACACCCCCTGTTCTGCAGTGAACTGTTAGATTACCTCATGTCCTCAAAGAAGCATAACCATAGCATAATTATAATTACATAATTATGCCATGTCCATAGCATATTTTGCATTATATTTTTCTTTATAAAAGAAGGAAAATAGCATAAATGCTTTAGAACGTGATCCAGTAAGTTTGAAAGTGAATTCCTGTGTACTTTCGCATCTGTAATGCACTTATTACACATGGCTACTACGGATTGTTTCAGTACTTGGTGCAGCAGTCTTTTACTTTGTTGGTTTTTTGGCAGCTTTGTTGATCTGATGCCCAATTTTCATACATTGTGCAAAGATCACCGATAACTTCCCGCAATGTTACAAGCTCTTTGAAAAGTATAGGCAGGCCACTTAGTACCACTCTGCGTATCTAGTACTGGCAGACCTGTTTTATTTGCTTTTTGTGTTTATGTCTTTGAACTGAAAGGATAATTAATTTTTTTTAAAGTTACTATATTCACAAGAGGAATAAAAGTCTTTACTCCAGTACTGTAGTACTATTGCTGGGTGATTATAGCTGGGGGGAGGTATTGCACATCTCAGAACAGAATTTAAGCTTTAAAAAGAAGAGCAGAAGTAACAGAGACTGAACATAACTGAAAAAAACCAACTTGCTTTCCTTTTGAGAGGACTGACAGAGAAAACAGAGACTTGCAAAGGAATTAGAAGGAATAACCTGCAGCTTATTGGTGTTACTAACTTTTTAAGTGTGTGTTTTATTTATGTGGTGAGAAATTTCTTGGAGAATTCCTGTCAAGTGAGCTATGTTTTTTTTTTACAATGGAGAGCTGAGACTGCTTCAGGTCAAGGAATTGACTAAAAGTCCCTTGAAGAGTAAATTTATGTGTTTTAGGGTGTTATCTGATATAACCCATGATATAGATTGATATCTGTACAACTTGTAATTGTATTTAAAAAATCAGCTTCCTGGCTAGACTAAATATATGATAATATAGTTGAGTTGGAGTGTGATAGTGCTGTTGCCACTGGGTGAAAAACCGGGAGTGCTTGCTTTGCCTTTGTAGTCCAGCAAGCATGTGTACTTGTAGCTAGTTCATTACTTTTCACCTTGCATGAGCCCAGGACCGTACTGTTTCTTATGCACCTTCTAGCATTACTTTGAAAACTAAACATGTGCTCTGAGGCATGTGCATTGATATTTTTATGCTCTTGCCTTCTATTCTGTTACAACCACTAGTTTTATAAGTCAGGGTATACTGTCTCTACATGCTGCAGCCTCGTAATTCTGAGAAGTGCTGCTGAACACATTGAGAGTGTCAATGTGGCACACCATCATCTCATTTTGACCCAGTCTTAAGTTGCCCTTGGGGTCTGATTTGAAATGAGTGGTTGCATTGTTCTACTGTGCTGTTTTTAATTCGTGCTCTGTTGGTTTTTAGCATTCTGTCCAGTTCTGTAGGGTCTCGCCTTGCCAAATATTATAAATGCATTTAGGTTGAACTGGTATTGGCGCTGGTCTCAAAGAATGCCTTGAGAAATTTCCCTTTTTGGAAGGAACTAGAATCTGAGTTGTTGCTGTACTGTATGAAAGGGTTGAAAGGACATCATGGTATGAGAGAAGATGCTTTTCAGTGGAAGTATTGAAAAGGGAACAGTTGTGGCTGAAGGAAAGATATTACGTTGATGATTTTGCAATTCAGCTTACCTTAATTCCTCATGCATCTTGAAGAGATACGTATTTATTCTAATTAGTTCCACTGGAAGTCAGCAGGAGCAGAATTGGATCCCTGTAGTTCTACCCCCCCGTTTTGCTGGCTGATTCAAGGTGTAGTTAACCCCAGTGCCAGTGAAAGAATGGACTTAAAGAGCTGCCTTCTGATGTGCACCTGGGTCATATTGAAGTGGTGCTCCACAACTAAGTCTGTGTGTATGTGTGATAGGTGAGAAAAGAAAATTTTGACTCTAAATTTAAGAGTCATTTGAAATAAAATATTCAGTGTCACTTGTAAAATATGCAGTAGAGTTACATAGTAATGATAACTGTGGAAGAGCTTTAGTTTGCGAGGAAGACTATAACATTGTTAAATTAACATTAGGAGAAATTTCCAAAAATGGCAGTAGCAGCAGAATGCCCTTCTGTAGTTAAACATTGTTATGTTTGCAGGACAAACTTCTAACAGTTTATTATGCAATAAATTCACTGTTTTGAAAGATGCAACATTTTTTTGTTGGTTGTTTTTTTAATGGTCCTCAGCACCAACCTATGGCCCCACGTGATCTTACTGTGGCCATTTTTAAAGTTCATTCTTTCTGAGGGTTAGATGCAGTAAGGTGAGATGCCCAGCAAGACTTCTACATTTCTGCAAAGTACAAGACATCTACATTTCTGCACTTGGAAAATATGTGAGACCTTGTAGTGCAAAGAATAGATAAGGTTGCAAATTCAGGACTTAAAGCTGTTAAATCTATTATGTGACTTAATTTAAAGTTTTGAGTTCATAATCTGCACTGGAAAAAAAGTATTTTCCATTAAGGAAATACTCTTCTGAATTCATTTCCACAAATTATACAAGCTGCACTATTGTTGGTATTTTTTGTTTCCCAAACTTCAGCCTAATTTTTCTTTAATTGTTTTATTTACTTCTTATTTTTCAGGAGTCTTTGAAAAATCCTTAGTGGTCATGACATTGTTACAAGTGACATAAGTTAGCCAGTGGCTCAGAATGATGGATACCCAGAAGACTACAAATGGTTTGCAAGTGATTGGAGAAGGGACTGGTATAGGGAAATCGACACTCCACATGGTGGGGTATTTGGGAAAAGTCAGTTGAAATTTGTTTTACATATGTGCAAAGTTCATATTTTTCTCTGTTTTGAGAGATTTTTAATTGGTCCTAATTTTACAAAAAAAATTCCCAAAATTATTTTCCACGGAAATCTATAACAATGGCGAAAGATTATTCTCAGTAGATCAGTGCCTCTGATTTTTTTTACTGGCACTATTTTTATAATTGTTTGCATTCTTATGAAAATTGATTTGTCTTAAAAAGATCTGAACTTGTGTTTTCTGGCAATAAGTGCCCTGTGGTTTAGTTCAAGTAGAATAAAATGTGCATAACTATGTTGTTAAAGATGCCTTACTTTAGTATTTAAATAAAAATATAAATTTATTTAGAACATGCTACCATACAAATATATAAATACTAAAAAAGAAACCAATGTAGTTTACTTTTTCACATTGTATGGTATTATATTTAGAAGTTGCACATTGTTTTTTTTATGCATAAATTTATGCTGCTTTATCTTTCTTGGTTTATCTTTATTTTAGAACTGTAATCCTGTGGAAACAACTGCACATGAGTATTGTCCAGTCTGCAAAGAGAAGGGTCAGATCCAAGCTTTAAGGACTTACCGCATTAATTTTCAAGAGTCCATTTTTCTTTGTGAAAATCCTCAGGTATCACACTAATAAACAGTTTTATTTGACAGTGCAGAGGCCTTTACCTTCAGTGGTTACACCTCTCTAAATTCATGACTTTGGTGGTAGTAAGCAAACTACTGAAATAGGACCCCTTTCAGTCTGTATGTTTGAGTATATTTGCCTGTATATAGAAAAAACTCCATAATTAATCTTTGTACACTGTTTAGGCATCGGTACTTACCCTAAAGAATTAAAAGAGTAAATTAAAATGAATAAAGGAGGAGTTTGCTTATGTAACAAGGGAACACAAGTGGTACTAAATGAATCTTTGTACGAGTCAGAATAGAAGGTGAAAATTTGATGGTCCATGTAACTAATTCATGATTCTTGCAGATGTGAGTTTCCCATTTTTCCTTCTTTATGTCTGGGAAATGCAAATAGGTTTATAATTATAATTACAATGTTTTTCTTTTATTTTTTCCTTTCCTTTTTATGTTTAACCTTAGCTGGATTTCTGTGCTACTTAATATTTGAGTTGTGTGATTTTGCTGCGTCTCCCTTCGCTGCTTCATGTATGTGGGGAGGGTATAGCAATTCCAAATGGACCAGTGCCCTTAAATTAGTAGAGACTAGACTAGATATGTGTCTCTGAGATGCTTTTCCCATCCCTTCCTACTTTTAACTAATTATTGTGTAGTTCTGGAGATTGGTAATAGCTACTTGTTTGTATTCTGGTCGCAGAATAGCTGTATGTATATACGACCTCACCAATACTGGTCTAAGGCATTGGGATAGCCTGAGAGGATACCCTGCCAGTTTGGGCACCAGTAGTCTCTCAGGCATGAGATGATCATGACAAATCTGTACCCTGAAGGAATGCATTTAGTGCAGAATAAGACAAGAAGATGCTCCTTAGCAAAATGAGGTCGTTTTCAGCAGTTGGAAGAATTTACTGGAAAAGTAGTGTTGAATTATCACTACTGATACATTTACTTCACAATTGCTAAAGACAATGGTTGAGTAAAAGACACTTCCTGTCATATATATGTTGAATATATGTATTGACTTAATTACAATATCACTTTACAGAAGTCCTTAAGGCCAGGTTGGATGGAGCTCTGAGAAACCTGGTCTAGTGAAAGAAAGATGTCCCTGCCCATGGCAGGAGGGTTAGAACTAGATAGTCTGTAGGGTCCCTTTGAAACCAAGCCATTCTGTGATTCTACATTCCATTTTAACATTATGTTTTATACCTATTTTTAGCTCTTGTTCACCTGAAATTGCTTTGTACGTTTCACTGTAACTTACTTTCTTTCCTTTAGTGTATCTACCCACTTGGTTATAAACCATTAGACAGCATAATTACTTCTGCTGGTTCAGAAAATCATCAAGCTCCATCTACTCATAAGAAAAGAAAATTGTGTGATACCAGTGACTTTTCTCCTGTTGAATCAGATCCAAAAAAAGCGAGAACTAATCATCTGGTAAATGCTGAGCACGCTATTAATACAGACCCTATTGTGAAATGCTATCAGAATAGCTTCTGTATTCCTAAGTCAAACCTACATGATGTATTACAAAATGACCAGCAGAAACCTGGTAACAATGTGGAGTCTTGCATGCAAAAGGTGGATTTTGAAACAACCACCAAGACCGACAACTACCAAGAAAGTCCACCTAAGTCTTCTAGTCCCAGAATACAATCCTTGCCAAATTCTGAACTTTTATCAACAACAACTGAAATTTCGCTGAAAGAGGATAAAGGTTCCACTAATAACACAGATTTGTGTCTTCAGTGGAGAAACATACATAATCTTTGTTGGTTAGATTGCATTTTGTCAGCACTGGTACACCTAGAAACATTAAAACTTGCCCTGGCAGAAGAATGTAACAATGGAAAATGTTTACTCCAGAAACTTCTAACAAAATATAGTCAAGCAACTATGCTGCTGAATACCTGTAAAAGGAGTAAAGTAAAAGGTGAGTAAATTTAGCTGCTGTTTCTTTTGACCACAAATATGTGGAATTTAGTACAGTGCACTTAAATATGCCTCCGTTCTATTTCAAGATCACAAAAGAATGAGTTACAATTCATTACCATGAATTTGCAGAGTACTGTGCTTTATATAGCAGAACCCTAGTAACCTCTGAAATTGTTTTTCTTGGGGCAAACGTGCACCCTTTGAAAGCATCAAACACTGAGCATCCCTTAAATTGTTTTTTCACGTGCCACATGAAGGTTTTGTGAATTAATATGTAATCTAGCCTTACTTTGTTTCCCTCCCCCTTGTTGGTTAGCCTGTTAGGGTGCTGTTCTAATATTAATCTTCAAAATAATTTCTGTTGTGGTTTATATCCTTATTTAAATAGGCAGTAGTTGCTTTGTCACACCAGGAATAGTAAAGCTGGGAACATATGTTCTTTCCTGGCTCCAGCTGTGCTCACTGAAGAAATGCTTCCCCTGGGGTCTGCAGGCTGCAGTGTAGATGGCAGTGCTTCCTAACTTGTCTCAGTCAAAAGTAGTCAAACACATTAACCTTGTTCATGTGGTCTGGGAAGGTTAACAGATCAGGTCGGCTTAACAGGTTTGAGGACTGTAACCTCTGAGCACAGGGGCTGTGATGGGCAGCTCAGGGCAACCTTCCAGCAGCACAGCTGGACTCAGAGGAGCATGTGTCACTGTAATCTGCTGGTGTGGTCTTTGACCATTTTCTATTCTGTGGATTCAGTTTAAGACTCTTAAACTAAGATCATGGTTTTTTCAGTCCTTTTGAACTGGACCATTGGTGTCATAAGTCTAAACTTCTAAGACATCATCTGTTAGATAATTAAAGACCTCGCTGGTTTGGCAGTACCTTTCATGAATGTCCATAGACATCCCATTAGAATATCTGTGTTTGAATATAGAGACTATAGTCCCAGAACAGCCTAAGGTAACTTGAAGAATGTCATGTCTTTTCTGGGAAAAATTGCAGGTGTATCAAAAGTGGTTTAATCCATGTTATGGGGGGGGAAAAAAACCCCAAATATTCTGAAGTAGTTCATATACTCTGCTTGCCAGAAAGTCAGGGTGCTTGAATTTAGGATTTCAGCTGTTACTGGGAAGCCCTCTACCTTCATAGAACCTGTCTGAGATGTTTTTCTTTCCCTTTTGATGGGCTGTGTTTGCAAAGGAGCTCTGGTGTGCAATAACCTTTAAATGGGGATGTTAAGTATTGGAATATAGTGTTGTTTGAGAGAACTTAAACCTTTTCATTTTCAGGAGTTGCTGCAAAACTTTGTTTGGGTAACAGTGGGGAGGGGATTGGATGAAGACTATTGTGGAGAAGAGGTGTAGAATTTATTCTGCCTTTCTGTGTAGTTTTTCAGCATCTCTTTTATACAGCTGCTTTTAAAAACAATAGAAAGCAGTATAGCTGCAAGAAACTTCTGTTTTCCTTTTTTCTGTGCATAGAGTTGATATGTAATAAACAGTTTCAACAGCTATTCTAAATACATCCTTTAATTTCTGCAGGTTATGATCATGATTGTGTAGTAGAAGTTATGTTCTTGCTTGTGCTTAAAAGAGTGTGTTTGTGTGGAAACAACATAACTTGCAAAATTAAAATACATAATAAGATACATGAGAAAAATTATTTTTAAGTGTAAAATTATTTTCACTGTTTTAAAGGCTCACTTAGGAAGTTAGTATTTAATCTGAAACAGTACATTTAAATGTAACATTAGAAAGTATGTAAGCAAATTTTCCTGCTTTTGCTCTTAATGTTTAGGTTTTAAAGTTTGCTCTTAATCTCTGAATCTGCAGGATTTGTAATATGTGGTCACAGTATCCTTAAAAATTGTTACTATCTAGCTGTTGGTATGCACTCTTAGCCATAATTTAATGGCTAAGTTTTTAGTTAGCACACTGTAGTAAAATGTGAGTAACTTGTGTAAATTCCTCTCTAATTTTCAAATCAATTAATACCAAGAATTGACTGTTTTACCAAGTTTCAGGCAAGTATGGGTCAATATGAAAGGCATCAGTTTGCAGAGAAAGAGTGCATGTTAGGGGTTACATATGTGTATGAAAAGGTGGGAGTGTCACACATAAATACATGAAGACGTATTTTTTTCTGTAGATGTTCTTCCAAAAGCAGAATCTCATCTCAATGAAGTCAGAAACTTAATGTTTACACAACTTCAGCCTCGGCTTAGGTGTGAATTGGGTAAGTACTTAGTGCAGCCTCTCAGTATTTACTTTCAGGAAACTGTATGTAAAGCCTTTTCTGTCAGTACCTAAAAGTGTGTGTATACACATGCATGCAAGACAGTCTGGAAATACATTTGCTTGAGATGGTAACGTACACATACTTTATAGAATGATCAGCTGGTTTGTCCCTTGCCTGTTTTGACTTTTTAGAGAGCATATTCCCATATTTGTAATTATGCTGTCGTCACAAAATTGTCATTGATAACAACCTAATAACATGGATCAATCCCTTTGCTGTGAGGATTAGAAACAGAGCCTTGAAATGATAACTGAAGTTTAAATCCTAGCAATAAACTTATCTCCTTCCTTTTTGAAGTACTGAAAGGGGATTTCAGATATTCAGTGACTGTTTTTTTCTGCCCCATCTTTAAAGGTAATATGGAGAATCCAGTGTTTGCACTCCATCTACTCTTACAGTTGGACCAACAAGCCGAGAAACTATTCTTGCATTCATTTTCATGGAAGTTTGAATGTGTATATTGTGGCTACAAATACCAGAACCGGTGAGATTTTTAAGTAGCTTCTATACAGCTGTTCTACCCTACCTTTTAAAATCCATATATGATAGTTGGCTTTCTTCGGATTTCCAGATTTTATAAAGCTTAAGCTTGTTGGTGGAGTTGTATGTGATCCACTTTTTTAGGTTAGCATTTGCAAATAGTTTACTGCTATTATGTGTCTTAAGAAACCATGTTATCAATTAAGAAAGAAATAATAGGTAACACTGCGAGTCTATGACTACACTGGCTCTGGTATTTTGCTGAGAGTATTCAAGTTGTTGTGGTTCTAAAGAATATATGCTTAATACACTTTTCCTTTTGAAGAATACCTATAATATTCATTTGGATTACAAAGAATCAGAGATTCTCTAACTTAATTTATCTATTTTAAAATAGTATTACAGGGAAGTAATTTTTTTACAAATGATTTACTTCTGTGTAGCTGCAGGTACAAGCTAGTAATTTGGGCCCCTTTTAGAGTCAGCAGAAGAAGAGACACCTTCAGAAGACAGCTCACTTTATTTGGAAAACATCTGTTTCTCTCCACTGTCTTAGGTTTATACAATAAAATTCCAGATTCCCAAGTGAAATGAAATTAATGCTGTCTGTTACTCTGACAGTCAACAGGTAGCTCTGGTTAATAGGATGTGTTCAATAGCCTTGGTTACATACTGTGCTTTTTTAAAAGTTGAAAAATTTAGGTTAGGTTGAATATAATGGAAGTCCTTTCTGTGGCTAATGAATGAATAAACTATGTTACTTCACTTTAATATCCTGTACATTGTATTTTCATACAATATAACCTCTGTGTAATCTCTGCTATGAATGTGCTGTTTTTTAAAAACAAGACCTTGTATAACATGGATTCTGAGGTAATTTGTTACGCTTTCTTCTCTTCTTGAGATTTCATATTAGCTAGTAAATTATGTGGGTTCTAGTACAAGCTCTGTCCTGTGTTGGAAAGGAAATGGAGATAAAACATGAAAAGGGAAAAAGAACAAATAATCAAATAATGTGAAACTGAAGGCCACAGAGCTGCTGAAAATAAATTGTGACTGATACTGTTTGGGAGAACTGAATTCAGTGCTGACTTGGATGTGATGCAGTCACGGTGAATTTCACACAAACAGCCTGAACATGAATAGAATTTGGCTTTGCCATAATGTTTTTCTAACTTTTTTTTCCCAGTAAAGTATGTATATTTATTGTTTTCTGATCTGCAACTCAACTTACTCTATTTTTTTTTGTGTGTGTCCAGATTTAAGAAAACACTAACAACATTTGCAAATATAATCCCTGATTGGCATCCACTTAACGCTGTTCATATTGGACCATGTAATAACTGTGGTGATAGATCTCAAAGACGACAGATGGTTTTGGAAAAGTAAGTTTGAATATATGAACTTGAAAATAAAATACATACAATTCTGAGACTTCATTTATTGAACGTATGACTTTCAAAACCAAACTGTGATTTGGGTTTGCAGAGATTCTAAACTTTAAAATCTGATAAATACTCACTTTTTAATATTTTAGATCATTCTTAAATGCTGAAATGGCAATTAGTGTTTAATAAACGTGAAACATAGAACATTGTTTAACATGCTGACCAGCGCATGTGTTTGATCCGGGTCATAAATACTTATATCAAGCAGTATATACAGAAAAATTATATCCAGTGTCAGCCTTTCCATAGCCCCTGCCATTGGTGAATAAAACTTGCTTGATCATTTGTTTACTAGTTTGACTTGGGAACAATATCCTTTCCTACTGTGATTATGGCACAGTTTTCTCCTTTTTTTTTTGTTCCCCCCAAGTTTTTCCTCACTCTCCAAATCCCTTATTTGATGGTGTTTTTTCCCCCTAATCTATAACAAAGTGTAATATCCAGTTGGGATGTTCTTTTCCCTTGACTACTGTGCAATCTGAAGAGTCCTGTGAGGAAGTAGAATATAAGGGCAGAACCACATACTCTTAGAGAAGCCTTATTTTTTCATTAGGAACTTTTGCCACTGTTTTATTGTAATAAACTGGTTCTTTATTGTTTCTTTGTCAGAGTACCTTCAATATTAATGTTACATTTCGTGGAAGGCTTGCCACACAACAACTTGAAGAAGTATTCATTTCAATTTGAGGAAGACACTTACCAAATAACATCAATTGTTCAGTATCAGACAGATAAGAAGCACTTCATAGCCTGGTCTTTGAATCCTGATGGTAAGAATCAGAGAATGGGTAAGGTTGAAAGGGACCACAGTGGGTCATCTGGTCCAACCTCCCTGCTCAAGCAGGGCCATCATAGAGCACATTGCACAGAATTGTGCCCAGATGGTTCTTGAATATCTCCAGTGAGGGAGGCTCCACAACCTCTCTGGGCAACCTGTTCCAGTGCTCGGTCACCTGCACAGTAAAGAAGTTCTGCCTCATACTCAGGTGGAACTTCCTCTGCATCAGTTTATGCCCTTTGCCTGCTGTCCTGTTGCTTGGCACCACTGAGGAGAGCCTGGCTCCATCCTCCTTGATACTCTCCCTTCAGATACCTATAGACATTAATGAGGTCCCCTGTCAGTCATCTCTTCTCGAGGCTGAACAGACCCAACTCCCTCCGCCTTTCCTCATAAGAGATAGGTAAGGTAGAGTTTATAGTTCTTATCTTTATAATACTTCCTAAATCTACATGAAATACTGTTTTATGAGTTACTGCAGTAATCTCAACAGTTGATATATAATAAAGATTTCTTTTGTCTGCATTCTAAACTTCATATTAAAATGATGTGAATAATTGGGGGAACTTGTTACTCAAAGTGAAGGTTTAGGTTTGGTTTAACTGATTTGTTCAGCAGTGTTCTGCCCTACAGTGCACTCACTGGCAAAAGTAATTTGGCTAGGGCTTTTTCTGTTTATAACTTCGTAAAAGTTAAAAAATTCAGTCTGACCATGACTGTGGGACAAATAGTATTGGTTATTTTGAAACCAGAGATTCATCCATTCTTGGCTGGAAGCAAGGGAACCTATGGAACTGTAAGCAGTTTCTTTTTATTTCTGAACTTTACGGCACCTGAGGAGTGGGAGGCACAAATCCATGTTAGAAACATTACTAATGGTAAGATGGATGGAAGCTCCATAATCAGAGAAGGTGAAAAGTTGATATTTTGGTACTCATGCTTCTGTAGAAAGAATGGAGTACAGTCTTACGAAGTGTTGTGACAACATGAAAATCGTCTTAATCATACTGCCAGAGTTTAAGAAATAGAAGAGGAAGCAGCTGGGAAATGCATAGTTAAGAGCCTCCTATACATCATATATATCTGTTTTTAAGTTCTTAAAGCTGTAAAAGATTAGTTCATGATCCATGAACAATTTGCAGATGATGAGATAAGAGTATTAAAATGAGCAGTTTCTCTTAAATCCCCATGCTTCCCACCCAGGCAATGTAAGGGTCTACAGAGGAACTTAATTTGAGAGGTGGTTCTTACCTCAGACCTGTGAGACAAGGTGTCTCAGCCAAAAATCCCTTAGCTTTGTTTTATGTTTGACCTACTCTGACTTGTAATAATACTGCTGCAAGTTCTCCTTGTGTTTGATCTTTTTACAGTGGAAGTCTCCCAGTTTTCTCTGTAGAAAAACCCTCTGTTTTTTGCTTGTCAGGGGAATAGGTTAATAAAAGTACTTGACAAGTGTGAGGATAGTGACTTCAACTTTAAAAGTCTCTGAGTCTCTGCACTCGTTGCTGTTTATTTTTCAGGAACTTGGCTTGAATGTGATGATTTAAAGGGGCCATATTGCAAGAGACATAAAAGATTTGAAGTTCCTTCTTCAGAGATTCATATTGTTATCTGGGAAAAGAAACCATCCCATGTGCCAGAAGAACTGAATTCACAGTTCCAGAGTAAAAATATTGAAGATTTTCCTCTTAATAACATACAGTCAAATTCCATGGTGCTGCACTGTGGTTTTGATAACACTGTAGGCAAAACACCTGCAGAACAGCACAAAGAGGATTCTGTGAGAACTCCAGAGAAGAAACAGCAGCGAGTAGCTGAGGGTGAAAGTATTGTTCATCATGGTTTAGAAAATCTGGCACACGATGATCTCGTAACACTGATGCTTGAAGAAGTTCAAATTGACTCGGAAGGTAAATCGCTGCCAAATGGACAGATGGTGGGAAATAACCTTATTGTTGAAATGGGCACACTGCAACAGCAGGAACCAGCTTTTTCACTTAACACTCCATATACAGGAGAGCTTGCTGGAACTGGTCTAGCTATGAATAACAAATGCATATTATATGAAAATTCCAACATTTGCTTACCTCTAGAAGAGTTGAACCCAGCAAATATTACTCCTCCGGTTCTCAAAAAACATGACCCTGACTCATCTGACTCATCACTTGCTCAAAGAACAGATGACAGAACTAATTTAGCTAACAGAGAACATGGATTAAATTCAGAACTACAGCTGAACAAGAAATTGTCAGCAGTAGAGAATACTATACGAAAATCACCTGACTTGAGATATGCAAGCAAAACTGTCATTAATTCTCAAGTTGACAGTTCTGCTGCGAGTAATTCTGTTCAGCCTTCACACAAAGACCAAAAAAGAGGATTTGTCGGAAGCTGGGTAAAGAAATTATTAAGCAAGAATACTTCCTTTATGCCTTCAAGTGCCTCAGTTCTCAAGAATGAGAGAAGTTGCAAAACTCCCTCAATGCAAAAAGTGAGTGAAGTGAGGCTGCCAGTTAAGGGCGCAAGTAACTTTGGTGGATTTCAAAGCAGAGGTACAAACAAAACTGAGACCCCAAAGTCACTGGCTCCTCAGAGTAATAATAGTCATCCTTTATCAAATTACAAAGGATTTTCTCAAAGCAGTCGTCTTCCAACAGCAAGGCATACCACTATTGCAGGTCCAACTTGGAATAAGTCAGGAAGTACACTGGGTACCTCAGGTAAAGTGACTCAGTGCCATTCACTTGGCTGTAACCCTGGGAAGGCAGAAGAGTCAGATAGTGACAAAACAAAAAAACTTCGCCTGAAACTGTTAAAAAAACTGAATGCTAAAAAGAAGAAGTTGGCTTCACTGGATAGACTAGCAGTGGAACAAATGAAACAGGAAAATCCTGTGAGTGGATACATAAGCACCCCATCACAGATTGAATCTCAAAATGACAGTGAAGTATTGCAGAACTTTTTAAGGGAACTGCAGTATCAGATTGATGTCACAAATAATGAGTCTGAATTTAATGCAAACTCTGTGTCAGGGTGCACTACCCATAGTAACACTGATGAAATACTGGCAGAGTTACTGTCCCCTACTTCAACTGTTGCTTCCTTAGAGGCTCCAAAAAGTGAAGATGAATGTATGTATATGGAGATGGTGGATAGTAGTGTTGCAACAACAGGGTCTGATGAGAAGACCGGTGTGCCACATGCAGCAGTGACAAGTGAGGACCACAATTACTACAGTCCTGTAAAGGACACTAATTTGGAACTTGATGCAATAAACAAACCCAGTGGGAAAAAACTTGCTTTTGAAAGTCCTACAAGTGAAGATATACTTGAAGACCTGTTCTCCATTTCAGCACCAAGCTCAATGGCAGGTGACATAGATTTACCTCATTTTGATGAAACCCTGTTTGAAACTTGGTAAATATTCGTTTTCTTGGTTTTAAGTGTTTTTTTCAGTATTATGTATATTTTGAAACAAAGCACTACTAAGTTATATTTTCTAACTAGTTTAATTGCACACTGGCTGTACTTGAACAATTTACATTTGAGGTATTTTTTTTCTTAAAATTTTATTGTAACAAGCAAATCAGGTTTTAATGAATTTTATTGTTCTGAGAAGCAGTTATTTTAGTTGTCAGATTTGATGCTTTTTAATTAGAAGCTCTTATGAGTCTTAATTTTTGCTTGTTTTAATATGGAAAACATCCATACTCTAGTGAGTTTGAAAAATAATAAACTTCAGTAGTCTTAATGATGCAATGGTGTAAGAAATATTATTTATGTAGTAGTCATTTATTTTACAGGATCACTTCTGAAGTTATTTTGTCTGACATTAAAAAAAAATTTAAGTACCTTCTGTAGTCAGGGAATTCTGCATCCTTTGATATGAAGATTGTTTGTAACATTCTAAACTTGAAGCTGGCATTCTCTTAGGCTGGCATTCAGCTCTTTACAGAATTACTGTTCTACAAGCTCATGCTGGTGTATATACGCCTTGGATCCAAGGAGGGATGGATACATGGTAGAAATTTTCCTATTTAAAGTTACAGCACGTACTGAGATTTCATCCTGCAAATGTAATTTGGCAGAATATGCTTCTGAGCCAGGTTACTTTTTTAAGTAAAATTAGTAACATTCAGTCCAGAGTGCATCACTAAGAAGGAATGTCAGATGTACCTTTTAGTTGTTCGTAGCTGCAAAATCATTAATAAAACAAAGGTTTTTAAGAATTAATTTAACTGCAAGTTAATGCCTATAACTGTTGTAACTAGGACTTGGTCACGACTAGAGCAGTGCACTCTTGTCCGTATGTGAGAGTGCCAAGGAGAGGCAAGGTCAGTAGGAAGAAAGAAATGGGAAAATGTAGCAAGACAGCAGTGAGTAAGCAGAGGGATTCACACCTTGGTGTTTCAGATTTCGTATAGATTTGGTTTTGCTAGATGGGAGTATTTTAAATGCATAGACACAGCTGAGGGTATTATATGCCAAGTTAGAGTAGCTGTACATTTTTCTTGTTCTCAGAAATAACTAAGATTTTATCAGCAAGTCTTTGTCACAGCCATTTTTAGAGGTGTTCTGCATTTTTTCATTCTTTTAGATTCCAAGTTCAAAACATTAAGTCCTCAGTCTTACTATTCCAATAGGTGCAGTTGAACATAATTGTTATTACAAGGCATGGCTGCAGATTTTAGTAGTCTTAGATTGTTTGAACTAGGTTCAAAAACTGTTTGAAAAATTGTCAGTGGCCCGCAACTCTCCATGTCAAGTTATTTCTGCTGCAATTGTGTACATTTTCATCAAACTGGTACTTCAGGCAGTGAATGGTTTTATTCTTGAAATACAAGTCTTTGTGAAGAACTTGAGCTTCTTCTTTGTTTTAAATACTGTAATTGGTAATGTTACAATAGAAAACAAATCAGTGGATTCTGAATGTTAAGTGCCGGTGCACTGCTGGTGAAATGTTTGCCTGTTTGTGAATTTCCTGATCAAAAAAAAGCTGACCAAAATTAGAGTTTGATTTATCCATTAATAAAAAAATACGTGCCTCTGCAAGACTTGAGGAAGGTCATAGCATTTCCATGTGGAATTTTCCAACCAGTAGGGTGTGTGTATGTGTGTGTGTGTATACATATATGTATGTATGTATGCAAACCAGTAAAAGGCAGCATCTTTCCCAGCCCTGACTGCTTGTCCTGGAGCAGTGGGGAGCTGCCTTCAAGTGTTGGTACCATCAGGGACTGACTGGGTTGCAGCGACCTGCGACTGTGCAGTGGGAGCTCCTTCACCCCTGGCCCAGAACATGACACAGACCCAGGGGTGAGTAAAGCAGAGAGCCTGGGGTTGGCAATGCGGAATGCATAGGGCAACAGGAGGAAGACACCCTGATAGAGCATGAGAAAGTCCTGGTGGTAAGGATTATAATGAGGTTAATAGCAGAGGAAGGGGGCTATGTGGGCACACCTGCTGTGAAGATACACCTAGACTGAAGCAAGGACCTCTGGTCACCACTGGCAGCCCCTCTGCAAACTGATTTAGGGACACCTCGGTCTGCAACTGCCTGGGATTTAGTGTGGGTACACATATATATAGAAGCTCCAAGAGCAAATAAATAGCACTTGAGATTAAAGTAGGTATGAAAATAAATCTGTTAGTGCTGCATGTTCCTGGTTGCCTTTTTTAAACTAAAAATGATACCGTGTAGATTTGTTTGTTTCCATAAATGTTTTACTGCCTCTCACTAGCCTGTGCAGGTGAGAATTCAGCTGAGATTGAATGACAACCCCATGACTAAAGAAACTGCTTGGAATTTGGTGGCTACTGGGCATTTATATTGAGACTAGTTTTAAAATACAGCTTTTTATTTGCCATGAAGAGAATACAAAGTATTGTAGTAGTTTTTTGTCAGTTAGAAATACACTAAGTGGGCAGAGAGCAAGCCGAGTTTAACAATCAGAAGTTACCAACTGCATTATGGTGGTTTCATCAGTGTGCTAGGGTAAAGTTCCAAAAGTCTAATGGCTTTGAGCACTGCCATCTTCACCACTAAACTATATCTCCAAGTGCCACATCTACACGTTTTTTGAACACTCCCAGGGACAGTGACTCCACCGCTTCCCTGGGCAGCCTGTTCCAGTGCTTGACAACCTCTTCGGTGAAGAGATTTTTCCTAATATCTAATCTACACCGCCCCTGATGCAGCTTGAGGCCATTTTCTCTCATCCTGTCACTTACTACCTGTGAGAAGAGGCCAAACCCCACTTGGCTACACTCACCTTCCAGGTAGTTGTAGAGAGCAATCAGGTTACCCCCCACCTCAGGCCTCCTTCAGGCTAAACAACCCCAGCCCCCTCAGTCAGTCCTCATAAGACTTGTGCTCCAGACCCTTCCCCAGCTCTGTGGCCCTTCTCTGGACATGCTTCAGCACCTCAATGTCTTTCCTGTAGTATGGGGCCCAAAACTAGACATGGTATTCCAGGTGCAGCCTCACCAGTGCAGAGTACAGGGAGGGACAATCACTGCCCTGGTCCTGCTGGCCACACTATTGCTGATACAGGCCAGGATGCCATTGGCTGTGGCCACCCGGACACACTGCTGGCTCATGTTCAGCTGCTGTCAATCAGCACCCCCAGGTTCTTTTCTTCTAGGCAGCTTTCCAGGCAGTCTTCTCCAAGCCTGCAGTGCTGCATGCATTTCTTGTAACCCAAGTGCAAGACCTGGCACTTGGCCTTATTGAACCTCATTCAGTTGGCTTCAGCCCATCAATCCAGCCTGTCCAGATGCATCTGTAGAGCCTTGTCAGTCTGTGTCTTCTGATTGGGGAAAGGCACAGTCGTGGCACTTATAGTTCAGAATCAGCTCTGAGGAGATAGCACTCTGATTCACATCTTACTACTTGATGATACATTCAATCACAGAGTACAGGGTGGGAAAAATGGGCCACCTTTTCACATCCTGCCTACAACAAATGAGCAGATATGCATAGGAGCTGCCTGGATGGGTTTGTAGCTGTATGACCTGCTAGAGCAATGTTCTAGAAATCCACTGCGGTGCTGATTACAAATCTGTTTTTCATGACTGGCTATTGCCATTTATGCTTCTTCCAGCACTGGTTTTTACTTTAAATAGTTATTCCTTCCCTGACAATGTATCTATGAGAGCAATTGTGTTCTGTCTGTATTCCTTTTGCAAAGCTGAACAGCTGCTGTTCCTGATGTGAGCCCCTTCATGCTCAGAGCCAAGCATGTTACCTTTCGAGCAGTTCATGCAGCTCTTAAGTGTGTGCTCGTCTTTGAAGTCTGCCAGGATTTGGTCTTGGAGTGGAAGAACTTACAGTCTAAGTATAGATCTAAGACAGTGTGTGGACAGGGCAAAAGAGAAAATAAGGTTAATGGGGCTACCAGGCTGATGAATTTTGCAGCATGCTAAGTTTTGCACTGCTGTGCACAAACGCAGTGTGGTTGGTTGTGAAGAAGATGCTGAAGCTGAACAGTGCAGAGCACGGTGGAGCCATGGGGGTCATGAAGGAGAGAAAATGCTGGGAAAGGAGTGTAAAGAAGTAGGGGGCTGGATGCCTCCAGCTTACGTTTTCAACAGAGAGACTGAAGAAACCCTCAAGAGATGCTTCTCCCCGGACATGGGTCTATATTACTCCTGTAAATGTAAATTACTATCTAAAGCGGCTTCAGTAATGCCCAAGGCAGGGGCTTGTAGATTTTGTCCCAAGTTTTCTGATAATATTCAGACCACTTCAGCTGAGATTCGTTTCCCCTCCTCGTTTCCATCCTTCCAGGGAAACTGCATTTGCCGAGGGGAAGCTCCTGCATGGGAATGAAGCACAGCTTCAGCACACAGCCCGAGCCCTGCCCTCGCTCCTCCCTCCCGGCTCCGCTGCAGCTCAGGAGGCCCCTCGCCCTCTCCCACTCGGAAGCTCCCCCCGGGGATTGTGCCACACGCGGCCGCTGGCCCGCTGGAAAGGAGGAGCCAAGAAAAACGACGTCCGCGCTGACACGGAAGGGGGGGGGGAGGAAAAAAATTTGGTGTTTCCGCCCGGTTTCGAACCGGGGACCTTTCGCGTGTTAGGCGAACGTGATAACCACTACACTACGGAAACTTCCCATGCTATATCAGCTTTCTGCGGCCCCCCTTGAGGGATCACGCGGAGCACCCTGAACCCCGAGTGCTGGTATGCGCTATGGATGAAACTCCTCTCGAGGGGGCAGGAAGAGCAAGGTCCTGGGGCTGAAAGCGGATGTCGGGCTGGGAGTGGCATAAAGGCGGCGCGGGGTGGATCCAGCCGGCGCGAAAGCCCTCCTGCAGGAGGGAACGAAAAAGACGCGCGCACAGTAAAAGAGTCGCGCCCCGTCCCTGGGTGGGCTCGAACCACCAACCTTTCGGTTAACAGCCGAACGCGCTAACCGATTGCGCCACAGAGACGCGCTGGGCAACGGGGCTGCCGAGCCGCACCTGATTCCCGCGACAAACGGGGGCGGGCCGTGCGCCCGGTTCTCCTGCGGCTTCTCTCTCCATTTTGGGAGGCTGGGCGTGGGTGGGTTGGGGTTTAGTGTCTGTTTGCTTTTTTAATCTAAAGACCAGTCCTTTTTTTTTTTTTAGTCCTTTTTACTCTGTTGTTTTCGGTGGTTTTTCCCATAGGAGCGAGGGATTGGGAAACAGTGGACAAGGAGAAAAAATTAGTGGTTACAGTTCTGGCTGCTGGTGGGACAGTTGCGGATAGAGCCTGAAAGCTGCTCTCTGAGACAGACCAGACAGCAAGCGGAAGCTCCGACAGTACGTGCCAAGGACGAGGAAGGCAAAAATTAGCATCTCCCTGTTACTCAATACATAGCCAAAGTATCCAACATCTTTCCTTCTGATATTTTCAGTACCAAAAGGACTAGTTGTGACAACAGATTTGAAGAACAGAAGAAAAAATTAACCCCACAGTATTCAAAGACTGTTGATAATTATTTGCATGAGCTTAAGGAATGTGGGTACACTGACAGAAATGAGACAGGGCAAAAGAGACTTCTGAAAGGGGAGCAGAGAGGAAGACCCGGGAATCTGCTGCCCAGGCAGCCTCACCTCAGCTCTAAAAAATCTAGAAATGAATTATTAATGAATTTACAGTCACTCAAAAGGTAATAAGGTGATAATGGCAGTAAATATGAATTGTGAAAACCAAATCAACAATGAAGATGTACCCTAGGGGGATGAGGCTCAGGTCAGGAAATACTTAAGCAACCTGCATGTACATAAGTCCATTGGTCCTGACGGGACATATCACAGGTGCTGAGGATAATGGCAGGTCCATTGTAAGCTCACTCTCCATCAGCTTTGATCAATCATGGCAACTAGGGGAAGTCCCCAAGCACTGGAGGAAAGCACACATCACCCCCAGCTACAAGAGGGGCAAGAAGGAAACCTGGGGGATACAGGCTGGTCAGCTACACTTGGATCCCCGGGTAGGTGATGGGTCATCTAATCCTGGAAACCATCTTCAGGCACATCAAAGACAAAGAAATCATCAGTAGTGCTCAGTATGGCTCAAACAAGGGGAAGTCATCCTTGACCAACTTGATAGACTTCCATGATGAAGTGAGTGGCCTGGTAGATGAAGGGAGGGTAGTGGATATTGTCTGCCTGGACTTCAGTGGGGCCTTTTGACACTGTCTCCTGTGAGATCATCACAGAGAAGCTGTTGATGTGTGGGTTGGACAAGAAGATGGTGAGATGGATTGAAAAGTGGTTACCAGTGGGATGATCTGGTTGGAGGCCAGTAACTAGCAGTGTACCCCAAAGATAAATACTGCTCAACATTCCATTAATGATCTGGATGATGGGGCAAAGTGTAACCTCAACAAGTTTGCAGACAGCACCAAACTCAGAGCAGTGGCTGATAGACCAGAGGGTGATGCTGCTATCCAGAGGGACCTTGACAGGTTGGAGGAATGGGCTGACAGGTACCTAATGAAGTTCAACAAGGAGAATTACAAAGTCCTGGAGCTGTGGACAAAAAAACCCCCCAAACACATGCACCAGTACATGCTGGGGGGACCCAGCTGG